GCGTCGCGACTGGGAAAACCCCTTCTCACGCGTTTCATAAAGGGGCGTGCCACTTTGCAACCTGCGGCGCGCCCACGTTTTATTGAATAGACAATATATCTCGAGCAGGAGGTGCTCCGAAAAAAACGAAACGTAAGTGGCTTTTACAAACGACGACGTCGTCAACGGAGATTTATGAGCTCCTTTTTGTCGTCATCGGGTTGCTAGCCACGCCTATTCGCCAGTCGGCTCAGTATTCTTTATTTCCTATTTGGTTCTACACCTATATTCCTAGCTGTACTACATCAGAAGAGACAGCGAATCCCGGCAATCACCGTGCATTTTCATCTACCAGAGGCACTAATGAAAATGCCAGTCATTGACGGAATTCGTTGAATCTGGAATTAAAGCATACCCGTTCTTTTTCCTTCTCCCGTTCCTTCCGTTCTTCTCGCCGGAGACGTCGATCACGGTCACGAGTTTCACGCTCCTTGTCGTACAGCTCCTCTTTGATTTTTTCGCTGAAAATCGTCGGATTAATAAGAAGCAGAACAGCTTCACAGAGCTTGAACTACTGTGGTATGCTGTTGCACTTCAATGAGAAGATGACGTGGCAAGGAAATCTGAATTTTCCAGATCCTAAAACTTCGCCACAGCACGGTACCGTCGGAACCTTCTCATTAGAGCGCAACAGCATACCAACTCCATTCAAACTCTGTGAATAACAAACAACCTACTTCATATTCTTCTGCTGCAACGTGGACAGCGTCTGATAGATGGCCTTGAATTCAGTGACACATTCAGGTCCCAACTCTGCTTTTAGCTCTTCGTACTCTTCAAAACTGATCAGGATCAACACTGCCGGGTACGCCTTCGCCTTCATCTCTCGAATGCATTTGAAGAATGCCTTCTTCCATCGATCAGACTGTTGATACATCTTCTTCTCCGTGACTTTGTAGAAGAGGTTGGCGACGAACGAGTCGAAGGTTTTGAACTGGAATTTAAACTTGGAACATTAAAACAGCTAAATATGATACCTTATGATAAAGTGTGTATAGTGAGTGAAGGAAAAGGAATGGCACTTGCTCCCACTTGAAGATGGCTTCGATTCCTTTAGAAGCCAGGTCCGGTTTCAACACTGCAGGATCGAAGAGAGATTCCAGATCTGAAAATTTCAAACATTAAACAATTTCCATAATTCAAGACTCACTATTTACTAGCAATTCAGCTTCATGATCATCCTTCGGCTCGATTTTGTGATATCTTTGAATGACATCGACCGGATCGAAATTGAGCTCTCCTGTTTTGAAGTCGCGCGCTGTGTAGATCTTCCGGAACAGTGTGCTTACTGACTTCTGATATTCCGTTTTGAAAATGAACGTTGGGATCAGTTGCATGACTTCTTCTTTTTCGAGTCCGAATATGATAGGAAGCAAAGCGCGAATATCCATCTTCCGCTCGTCGTGAAGTATCTTTAGCTTCTGAATCAATTCCTGCGATGGTCTGTCTCTTTCAGAAATCAAAACGACTAGACGCGCAACAAGAGTTTCGGCTCCGTGTGGACAATCGACGATTAAAGAAATCACACTCTCCTGGCTGAGCTGTCGCATCACTGGCTCTAGAACTCTCAGAATCGACCGCTTGAACATATTCGTCGATTTTGCATAAACAGCGGCTAACGGAAGAAGAAGCGTCGGGTCTACCGGCATCAAAATCGAGTAAACTGACAGTGAATTTTTGTAGATCTCATCGGTCCACTCTTCAGGCGCACCAGGCTTTCTCATATACGCTGGTGGCTTCTCCTCTAAACAATCGTTGAGCTGCATTCTAGCCTGATCGCAAAGAGAGCTTCGAATAAATGGCAGATGACTGAGCTCTTTGACAACATCCATACATCCTTTGTGAACTTCTGGACGGTCCATGAAGCAGAGACTGAATAAGAATTGAAGCAGTTGGGGTCGTTGTCTATTCCGAACCATCAGCGTTTCACGAAGCATGAACATTCCTGTCTCGTTATCCTTTCCTAAGCAAACATTCTGTAACCGACACATGGCATTTGGCGTCAGAAGAGGTATTTCCAGTAGAAGCTTATAAAATATAGTCTCTTTCTGTAGATTTCGCTCCAACATCTCATCCATAATCTTGCAAACCGCATTGTCATATCTCTCTAACCTCTGCGGTTGTGTCATTCCATCTTGATTCGCTATCGCATCCTTAATCCTGAGTGCACAGTTTGAGTATCCTTGGTATTGGGCGTACAGCTCGCAGAGCCAAAGATGAGCCAAATCGAATCGTTTCTTATGATCTGCAAGGATAAATTCCACAAACTTGTTTTCATATGGCGTGCAGTCTTCCCAAAACCGGGTTGTCAGCCTGACAACTAGCTTCATATAAATCTTTCCGGCTCCTCCTGCATTAGCTCTTCTCTCCGCATCTAGCACCGAGTCATATGCCAATTCAAACAACTCTGCCGCTCCTTTCGCGTCGATTTTCTCCGTCTCCTCCACCAAATTGAACGCCTTCTTCGCTTTTTGAGCTACGGGAGCTTTCTCTGGCGCCGCTGGTTGCTTCACAACGGGCATTCGTGTATTCGGCTCATGATGCGGTGTAGGGGCAATAGCGATTCCCTCGTTTCTCGCTTTGGTTTTCGCCTCGTGCTCTTTCCTCCGCTTTTGAACCAGCCATTCGTATCCGGGACCAACTTCTTTGTGAACCATTTGCGCGGCCATGAGCTCCGAAAGCTCTTTTCGGTTGGATTCCGTTCCAGCGTTCGCAATCGGAGTGTAGGATGAAGCGAAAGCAGCTGGCATTTCTTCTGGCAAAGTGAACAAGGCAATTTTGACGAGATTGTTAACAGTGTCATGATTAAGCCGTTCTAGAATATATTTCGCTGTTATATCGATAGCTTGAGTTCTGGCATCCATCTTGGCTTTACTCGTTGACGCTTCTGATCCTTCCCCCTCATCATCGTCATCATAAATCGGATTATTAACCTTGGCTCGTTTAGCAGCAGGCTCTGCAAACGTAGCTCTTGCTGGAGTTGGCGACTTGATGAGGTCTGGAGGAATAGACTGGTTTACTTCTCTTGCCGAAGCACCCAGGTAGTTTGTGAGCATTCCCATAATTTTAGGTTGAAGATTGTATTGTGGATTGACGGATGCTGGGATTTTCAGGAACCGAAGCAAATTCGACTTGAAAGACTTTCTCAGGAACTTCACTTGTCCTTTGCTGAGCATTGCTGGAACATTTGAATGGAGAGTTTTGATTACTTCGAAGACACGTGGCATAGCTTCCTCCCAAAGTGGACGACATCTACTAATCATGCAAAGACACTCGATGACAGCGATTAAATTTTGAGAGGTGATATCGGCTACAGTGGTTTGCGTGATTAGAGCTGTGAAGTTTTGTTCGGCTTCTAGCTGCGCTTTGTGAATCGATAGGAAGCGATGGCTTCTTGGGATGTCGGATAGTGAGATTTTATGGAATCGGGTGTTTGCTTCCTTCGCCCATTCAGCGGACATTTCTTTTGGAGCCGGTGATTGGCAAAGGATAAGAGCTTCTAGGAATTTGACAGTAACAGTTCTAATGCCTTCGTGAGGATCATTAACAAGATTGCATATTCGACTTTTCAACAGATTGAATGCCTCCCAACAACTTTCTGCTTTATCATTTTTATCCATTATCGCAAATTCTAGAACAACCGGATACAGACTTGTGGATGCTACAACTACTCGCTTGATGACACTTTCGTTGTGTGAAATGTTGTCGTTCGGAATCAAATAAAAGTTGTATCTCTCGACGGCTTTGTTACAGATCGTCAAGTCTTTCGCACTCGCTTTTTGTAGAAAATCAATGATAAGGCATATGATACGGTAGTCGTTGAGCTCTGCGAATTCCAACATTTCGGTTAGAAAGTTGTCGAGAACGTTGTTGGAGATATTGGGATCGATTAGTAAATGCATCGCCTGAAAATTATAAGATTTTTGTTGATTTTTCTTTCTATTCAAACCGTCGATAGACATGTTAACTTCTTGTCGATAGTTGCTGCTTCTCGTGCCTCCCTCAACGTTTCTCCGATCCGTTCTGTCGCCGATTCCTTGTCATCGTCAAGTTCGATGTAACTCATCTGAAAGCAGAGTATTCAGTGTGGAAATTTTTGTTTTATAAGACACAGAAACAACATAGATAATTAGTAACGAAAATAAATAGCGCAACTTGAAAAGAAATTTTCTAGCAGTTAGGTTTTTGTAAAACAAAGTAAAAGAAATCAGATTTCTATGAAAAACTAAGCGAAAACCTATATTTTATCCAGTTTTCCGCTTTTTGTTTACGAATATTCATGAAACTTTTCGAAAATCAACAAAAACGAAATTCGAGCTCGAAACCTCAAAACGCGCCAAGCCGGTTGCTGACGCAAATGGTGAAATCGAGAAATGCGCCAATGAAAATTTGGAACTTCAAGACTGCGTTCTCGGCTCTAATTCTGTTTTCCATCTGAAAAAAAAAATGCAACGACCTCCTCCGCAGATCTTCGATTTAGTAGACATCAGAGAAAGATTGCAATACAATCAGATTCTCGTAAAATCGAGGGTAAAATGCTCGAAATCTATTTTTCACAAAACCCCTTCTCACACATTTTTCAGGGGTTCAGTTCTCTTGTTGAGCAAATAATCAGCCGAAAGCTCGACGCAAAAAAGGATATCGAATACAAAAAGGTTCTATTCGATTGCTTCTATGAATATGGAGATGTTCCTCTTGAAATGTTGCTCGATGTGCTTCCAATTCTCCAGGAGAGACGTAAGTATAAGAAATGAACATTTGCTAACCGCCGTCAGATGGTGGATTTACAGAATTGATTAGCGCACAAACCATTCTCGAGGAATTCTCGCTTCGTCTGCTGAAAATCAGCAAGGAACAAATCAGTCGGGCGTTTCCTATGGTGATAAACGCATGTCTCCCGTCATTTTCAAAGTTTTTGGAGCTGGCAGCGCGTATCGATAAAGATGTGATGGCTGACATGTTTATGGAAGAAGACCTCCAGCGCGATCACTACAGATACATCATGGTTCTTCTATATTCAGGACTGTTGAATGATGACCAGAAGAGAAGGCTTGGAAATCTGAAGTTGGTTCAAGAAATATTTTTGCAACACTTTCCACACCTGTATCCCGTCAATGATCGAAAGACATTTGACCCAGAACACCACTTGAGAGGTAAGCATATTTTGTCACAGAAGATTTCTTTCAAAAAGAATAATTTCCAGCTTGCTCCGCACCTGAAATGGAAAAAGACACACTTCAAAGCCTCGACACCTTCCAGATGCTACGACTGATGCACGAGAGACCCGCGATTCTTCGTAATCCCAACGTCGGCCAATCCATTCTCTTCACACCATTCATGTTTCTGATGTCTCAGTACATACCACATGTGGCGAATGTGATGAAACCGGAACAAGCAGAACAGATGAGAAGACTCACTGCCAACAAGTTCGATGAATGTGTAGAGCAGATAAAATTCGCCGAGCCTGACTTTTTCAAGTCAGATTTGACGATGGAGAAGATGCTAAGCCATGTGATCACTAAGAATACAGAGGAGCAGTTTTATCGATTCGTTGAATACTGTTCTGACGAGTTGCCAATGTTCCTCGAGGCTCACTTTCTTCCTGGTCTCCTTGCACTTCTTCCAAACTGCACTGAAAATCAACTCCTTCAGAAAAATATCGTCGGCCTAGTCGTTCATTATTTGAATAGTGCACCAGATCATGCTGAAGAGTTTGTCAACTTCTTTATTGGAGTCTATGCGAAAGCATATTTTCCAATCAGCAAAAGTATGCTTCTGGAAGCTTTTGTTGAGATGAAAGTTGATAGAGTGAGTTGATAGATTTCAATATATATCTAGAGTTAAAAACTTTCAGTTTGCACTGACTCCGATCGCCGGATTTTTGAGTTACGAGATGGCAAGAGGCACAGATCGTGTTGGAGGAGCTAGAGCGTTGGCGAAATTGATCAGAAAGTATCCATGGGCCGTCCAAAAGGCCGTACCAGCTCTCAAGTTGGATGGCAATGACCCAGAAGAACTCTTCCGTGCAAAGATGGAGCTTGCCAAGGAGTGTTGTCTTGCTACGTAAGATTTTTTTTTGTTTTGACTGATGCATGATGCTATCTTAGTTCCAGTGATGACCACGAGATCGTTCTCGGACAAATCGAAGGTTTCATCAAAGACAATGGATATCGTCTAGCGGCTACAATGGAAATCGCAGCGGATCTTGCCAAAAACGACATCCTAGACGTCTGGACGAGTCGTAACATTCTCGGAAGAAACGTCAAGTATCTAGGAAACGAGGCAGCCTGTGCTGCTTATTGCCGATTCTTGGCTGTTGGAGCGAATTTGGATGTGGAAGACTGTGCGTCAGAACTAGAGGAGAGAAAGAAGAAATTCATTGGGGATCTTAAAGAGTTCACACAAAGCACACATCCTTTAGTGGCCACAGAAGCGTGGGATTCGTTGGGATTTTTCACGATGGAGGAGATCCAAGAGCATATGGGTATGGTTCCATCAGGATATGGAGAGATTTATAGAAATCTTGATCCAACTCATCGACTGGGATTTGTAAAATTCTTGAATCATCATTTGGACACCGAGAAGGAGTCTTACCCAAGATCTTTGTACAATTCTGCGTCAGATATGGCGGATGTACCACCTCTGATGTTGAAAGTGGACACCTACAAAGATCAACTCACGAACAAGTACAAGGACGAACCCTGGTTTTGGGCGTCTACTCTCCCAATGACCGCTTCTATTCTCCAGCTAACGTCTCCAAGCAACAAAGCTACGACTGCAGTTCGCATTCTGAAATCTTGTCTACTCCAAGTTGAACCAGCCACGAGTTCAGAAGAAATGATCTGTTTAGTTGCGAGATGGAGAATTTGTATTCGTGAAATGCTGAACGTTCTTATGGAATCCAAGAGCAATGACATTCTTTGGGCGAGAGACCAAATTTGTTCAGAGGGACGAATGAGCTTGGCACAGAAGAATGAGTCGGTGGACTGCATAATGATGATGCTGACAGTGCTAGCTGAGAGCATTGAAGAGAAACTCAAAAATTCAGAAGACCCAAAATTTGTTAACGAAGTCTCTACTGCTCAGAAGCCGTGGTTGATATCAGTTCTGGAGTTCTGTGCCACAAGGTTACCAAAAGAGCACAAGGAGGCGTGGATAGTGAAAGCCAACCCAATCTATCAAGTCAAAACTCACTCCAATCAATCGTCTCTTCACACTGCCATGTTTTGCTGCCGTCTCCTGCGTAGAATCCCGGCGCTCACCGAATACTATCGTGACTTGAAGGATCCAGAGTTTGGAAAAGACCCATACCTTCGATATTTGCTTCAGGACTCTTCGAAGCGTATCGAGAACGACTTGGTTGTTTCTCGATACATGATGTATGTGACTGCAGAAGCATATGGTGTCAGTGAGTTGACCGCAAGAAGATTCGAAACTGACCATCAAGCTACAGTAGAAGAGAAGACTGGATCATCTGCCAACCCATCATTGGAGTGTAATGAAGATATCGAAGAATTCTTCACTCAACTATTCAAATCTTCGCGGAATAAAATGAGCGAAATCCAACAGCAGAATAGGAAGGTTCTTGAGAAGATGTGGAATAGTGGAAGTGAAGACGTCAAGATGAAGATCTACAAAGGACTGGGCTACCTGGCATTGGTTAGTGGATCAGGACGCAAGAAGGCGGTTGTTCCAGTTGAGAAGCTTTCCGATAGTAGTATTCTAAAAGGAGTCCTTCAACTTTTCGATGAAAAGTTGAATGTACCAACTGACGCCCTTCAACTACTTCTTCGAGTTTTCGCTGATCACAGAAGACCAAATGGACGATTCCTTCCACCTATTGACTGGATGAAAGTGCTGGAGAGAGCAGAATGGAAGGCAGTGGATCCAGAAACTCGATTATCCCTTATCAAGTTATCATGCGAGCAGAACATTCCTGATGTGTTGTTCCATTACGCAGGAGGTGATTTGACGGCACAACAAGTTTACGTGATTGCTGAGAACTTGCGAACAGTGATGAAGTTGTTGCCAAGGAAGGAGTTCATGATAATTCTCCGGCGAATCACTAAGCAAGCAAGAATCGTTGATGAGGACAAGGAGAACGTTCTGAAACTGTCCAACGCTGTCGCTGAGTTGGAGAAGGATCCGATTGTTCATGAGTTTCTGGTGGGAGATCTTCCAAAACTCGACGATCCAGTTCAAGTCACCGACCCAATTCTTCGTGCCCTAAAGGACCCAATAGCGTTCATCGGTTCCATCTCAAGATCTTTCGATGTTTGGGCAGAAGCACATAATGGAGATAAGATGAATATGAAGAGAATTTGTGAATATATTCTAGAAGAGACCAACACTTTGACAGAGGCAAAAATGTACGTATTGCTATCGTTGGAAGCGAGACGACTGTCCCATAAGAAGAAAATCGACAAGATTCTCGACGTCATCACCGCTAGCCGAATTCAAAGAAGTGCTAATGGAGACATGAGCAAATTCTTCCCAATCGTTTTGGCAATCATTGTGTCTCTCGACCCAACTGTGCAGATTTCGGTTTGTTTCTTTGGAACGGAAAGTCAAACTATCGAAATGATGTGTGCAGCGAAGCGACCCTTCTTCAGATCTCTATTGAAATGCGCAGAGATGAAAAAGCATATCGAACATGTAAGATTTCAAATATGGAGAATTCTAAAAAGCTATGTTTTTCAGATCGGTTCATTCCTCCGCCCATACGTCGATGGAGAAGAGACGGATATCTATGAGTTGTGGCAGAAAACTGCAGCAACTGGTGAGTATTCCACTGATATCAAATCAATATCAATCTGTTTCCAGATATGCTCCGTGACGTCATCGCGCATTTCGGCTACGACGCACTCTTGAATCTTCTTCACGAAGACGACTTCTTCTGGCAGACGATTCTTCCCGTTGAATAGCCAAGCGATCTCCTCCCAACGATGATCTCCTCCCAACGATCAATTTCCATGTGATTGTTTTGTTAATTACCATGTCACCCAATGTTTGATATTGATATATTTATTTTGAATCCCATGCAGTAGTCGTATAAATTATTTCTTGTTATAAATTTTAATTTCTTTTTGATATTTTGTCTCAAAATCGGTTCTCAACCTCTATTATCTCTTTACAATCCTTCTTCTGTTTGAAATTATCAATTTATAGTCTTTAGATGTCGGTCGAGCAACACATTGCCAACGACCAGTTCCTTCAAAAGCTGACGGCGTTCTACCGGGATTCGAAGATCCGTGGGCCACGCAGCGTCTATGTCACAATGAAGCCATGTAAGTGTTCTGGAGCGCAAATTCTCAAAAATCCACGTATCTCCTTTTTAGATGACGGACGTACAAAAGCAGTGCCGAAAGGCAGCACTTTTAAGGACGGCGACGAGGTGTCGTGTATCTTCCGAGCGAAATGGGGAAGCAAGAAGATTGCTACAGAGGTGAAGGCTAAAGAAGTGAACAAGTTCCATACACAATATTCCGCCATCATCATCGCTCAAATGGTCAATTTGGAGAAGCGAAAAAAGACGGACGATGAGAAGAAGAAGACGACGGGAGCATCGAAAGCATAGGATTCATAATTCTAATTAGCTTATAATTTTCTTTTTTTGGTTTTTATCCCCTTGTCATCTATCTCCCCCTTATTTATTGACTTGTGATTCTATTCTTCTGTATTTTTCCCTTAAAAATGTCTATTATACCTGCCCCCTCGCCTCTGAAAAAATTCCAGTCATTCTGAAAAATTCTATTCAAAGAAAGAAAAAGAAATAGTTTATTTTAATGAAATCACAGCGATGATATAGAGAGACAGAGAGGGTGGCGAAAAAGCGATACAAAAAAGGACTAGAAGAGGATGTGTCTCGTGGCAATTTATGAAATCACAAAGTTCTGGAAGAGTGAGAGAGAAGAGATGGAACGAAATGACTAGAAACAGGGGAAAGGAAAGCTCGGAAGCGATACAGGGAAAGGGGAAAACAAGGAAGATTTGAAGCGAGAGTTAATTTAATTTAATTAAAAGTTAATTGGTAATAATTACAGTAACTTAGTTTCTCAGGCAACCAAGTAGGGTGCTGACCAGAATATTCCGATCGTAGAGGCGATAATGAAGATTGTGAAGACGTAGAGACACAGACGGTCCACGACCTAGAAAATAGTGAATTTTGAAAAGAGGGTCTCACAACGAAAACTACCGTAACCTAAAAATATTTCAATTTCCATTTTTCTCGATTTTTCTGCTATGTTTCCCCCGAAAAAGTCAGAAAAAAAACGACTGAGAACGCATGAAAATCGAGTAAAAGTAAATCCGGAAAATGAAAATTTTTTAGGTTACTGTAGTAACTGCCTGCTTGTGTTCAGACTCATTTTGAAGCTTTTCAACTGCCAAATTCACATTTATCGTTTTTCACGCTTTAAAATGAGCCCAAACACGACTAGAAACGGATATCATTGAAGGCTTCTTGTCGGTACGCGACGCACGACCGCCACGCATCCGAAAATTCAAAGTGTGCGGAGCCTAGCCATGTTTAGGTTTATTTTGAAGCCCTGAACGTCTTAAATTCAGACTCATTGTGTTTTCGGCTCAAAAAGAGCTCAAACACGACTAGGCCCCGCCCACTTTGATTTTTCGGGTGCGTCGCGGTCGCGTACCGACAGGAAAGCTTCAAAGTTATCAGTTTCTCGTCGTGTTTGGGTTATTTTAAAGCACGAGAAACAATAAATATGAATTTGGCTGATAAAAACCTACAAAATGAGCATACACACGAGCAGACTGGTACAACTACCGTAACCTAAAATATTTATTTTCCGAATTGATTATCCCGATTTTCTTGTGTTTTCAGTCTATTTTTCCGGACTTTTTGGGGGAAAAAATGACAGAAAACTCGACGAAAAGCAGTAAAAATCGAGGGAATAAATTCTGAAATGATAACAACTTTTGGGTTACGGTAGTTGTCGTTGTGGGACCTTAAAAAAACTAAGGCTTACCATGGCTGCGAACTTCCAGTTATTCGATGCCTGTTCCTCCTTATCACCCTCGATCATTCTCTTTGTAACAATCTTCAACTCATGATAAATCCGATGCAAAATCAACAGTGTCGCCTGCTGGGACACATCTGTCAGTGCTCCATTTGTACTAGATATCATTGTACTCGGAATACTTCCCATACTTGTCAATCCATTGCTCACCGATTGCGTCATGATGTACTGATTCAGCCGACAATCTGCATCGAATGAGTTGGCACGAGACAGCGAGTGTTCGTTATCTTTAATGTTCCTGATTAGGGATTCAGAATGACGATTGGGTTTAGAAGCGAATAGCGATGGAAGAGATGCGTAGGTGAGGTTGTGGCCAGGTCGTTTCATTCGTAGAATCCATGGAATCCAGTAGAGAAGAAGGTTGCGGGTCCATGGTCCCATATCATGAGTCTCTGGGGTACGATAGTGCAAGTTCAACACATAGACTGTGAATACTGTAGACGCCGTTACCACAATCATACAACATGTGAAAAAGATGCCTGGAAAATTTTCGTTAATTTTGCAAGTTGGGTTTTCTAGGCAACCGACTTTTTTTTGCCTAGAAACGGGTTAACATGACCCTGGTGTCTTTTCTAGGTCATTTTGACGTCGTGGCCTAACTTTTGCAAGTTGAGTTCTCTAGGCCATCATGATAAATGGCCTAGAAATAGCCTAACATGACTCTGGTGTGTTTTCTAGGTCATTTTTACATGGCGGCCTAACTTTTTCAAGTTGGGGTTTCTAGGCCACCATGTAGAAATGACCTAGAAATGGTCTGATATTCATCTTGAATGTGTTCTAAGTCGTTTTAGCGTGATGGCCTAACTTTTGCAAGTTTGGTTTTCTAGGCTGCCATGTAGAAATGGTTCAGATATAACCTAACAAGATCCTAGTGTGTTTTCTAGGTAATTTCAACATATTGTGGCCGAACTTTTGCAAGTTGGGGTTTCTAGGCCACCATGTAGAAATGGCCTAGAAATGGTCTGATATTCATCTTGAATGTGTTCTAGGTCATTTTAACGTTATGGCCTAACTTTTACAATGTTGGTTTTCTAGGCCAACGTGTAAAGCTCACCTAGAAGTGGAACGGCTTCTGAAGTTGGCGGTGACATCTCCGAAACGATACTCAAGAAGAAACAAATGGAAAGAAGGACGGTGATTTCTGAATGATCAATTTTTCATGGGACACCTTTCTCTAGAGAGCCCTTACGAAGTGTGATTTTTTCACCGGCGTCCGGTGGAAGTGTGAATCCTAGAAGTGTCATAAGTGTGGTCAGAATACACGGCATAATCAAGTTGAAACCTGAAATTGAGGGATGATTTCAAAACTAAAAAAATTATCCTACCGTAATACAAGGTTCGTCGTCTCATGTGAAGATAAAAGTGAACATCCGGGTAGGGCTCCGGACAGCAATCGTAGAATTTCTCGTTGCGCTCCACAGTGGTTACTGTAATTAAAAAATTAATATATTTGATTTTGTTGGTGCGAATTACATGGCAACGCCCATTCGCCATTTGGAAGATACTCGCTGATGTCGAAGCCACCCGTCGCTGGTTGAAGATCAAGTTTGTAGCCGTCATATGTCCAAGAACCGAACTGCAAAAGTTGCAGATGTGGAAGAGACACAACTACCGTAACCTTTTCCGGATTTATTACATCGTTTTTGGAATTTTCTGTCATTTTTTTCACCAAAAAACGTCCAAAAATCGGGATAATAAATCCGGAAAATTAACATGTTTTAGGTTACGGTAGTTGTAGCAACCTACTCGTGTTCAGGCTCATTTTGAAGGTTTCGATTTGCCGAATTCAAATTTATTGTTTTTCACGCTTCAAAATGAGCCCAATCACGACGAGAAACCGATAACTTTGAAGCTTCTTGTCGGGCACGCTACGCACGACCGCGACGCACCCAACAATTCGAAGTGGTCGGAGACTAGTCGTGTTTAGGCTCATTTTGAAGCTCTGAACGTTCTGAATCTAGATTCATTGTGTTTTGAGCTTCAAATCGAGCTTAAACACGANTAGGCTCCGCCCACTCTGTACCTATCGGCAGGCTTGCGATCTGATGAATTTGTGACATTTTTTCAAACAAATTTGCCAAAAATTAGAAGACACTTCCGATTTAAAAATAAGCCTACCTTGAAAAAACACTTTTGCTCATCAAACGGAAACCATTGAATGTCAATTTTACAAGAAATCTTAAAAATGCCTGGAGGCACCCAGTGGACCAATCCAGATGAATAAACGATCATATTGGTTTGATAAGTAGAGTCAAAGTTGGTATCCACACTATTGTACAGTAAGACATCTGGCTTCCAGATCTTTCCAGCCGGAAATCGGACATCCGTGATGTTACCGTACTCTGCCTGGTCCCAGACTAGATTATAGTCTTTCCATGTCTGAAAAAGTGCACTTTGAGCTTAATTATATCGGTTCCTGTGAGAGGTATCAAAAAACTGTCAACTGATAAAATAATGGTAATTTTATGATAAAAAATTTATCAGTTGAAACTTTTATGATATCTTTCAAAAGAACCTAGATAACAGAATTCTTACATAATCCAGCCAAGCATTGACATAGACCACCTGATTCTTCTCGTCAACATCGATGATTTGTTGGAGGGCCACCTTTAAAAACAATGTAAAAAATCTTCCTACAGTAATCTTGATACAGCAACCTTCAAATGCACAGTAACCGGCTCCGAATGGTTTGCAACTGGCCGTTCCAAATTGTTGTAGTTTCGCATGAGATCCTCATAGAGCCGCCGCTCCTGTAGTGATCCATGAGCCACCAAGAAGAGAGCGCATGAGAGGAGGAGGGCGCAGACAGAAGACATACGGACATGAGAGAAGGATCGGAAAATGGATTCACGGGAAGTTGAGCATTTGGGTTTAGGTTGTTGGGGGTTGGTAGATAGATCTGTAATTTTGGAGTTAGCATTTCAGAAACCCACTCGAACCGTTAACTTTGAGCTCAATTATCTTGATTTCTATAAAAGATATCAAAAATCTCTCAATTGATAAATTATTTATCAAAATATAACCAATATTTTATCAGTTGACACATTTCTGATATCTATTACAGGAGCCGAGATAAATGAGCTCAAAGATGGCTGTTCGGGCAGGCTTCTATCAGAGGAGGACTCAACGATAATGAAATCAAGGATATTGGCCAAGAAAAGAAAACAAAAACGCAAAACAAAAAGTTGCAAAATCTTATTTTTTCGGACATGGAACTAGGAACACAAAATAAATGTGTTGGAATGTTGGGTCTCGGGAGACTTGACTCGGTGACACTGACCAATTCATATTTGGAGAAGAACAAAAAAGGAGAGGGTGGTGAATTTAGTTGGAGGTGACGGATGAATCAGATGGTGTCAGATTAGATGAGCCAAGATTTGAAGATTTAAATGTCAAAGTTAGGGTTCTAAAGATGAATTTTGATAAATTGTTTTTTTTTGAAAAACTAAAAACGGGTATATCTCATTAGTAGAAATAAATTAGTAGAAATATAATGTTATGTTTGATTCAAAACTCCTGAAATTTTCAAAGCGATTCCTCAAGTCTAGGTATGGTTATGGTTATCCAAAGATCAACGATTTCTTGTGTTTTTCATGACATTAAGCAACTTTGACAAGCGATAACCCAGCTCAAAGTTGATTAAACAATATGAAGCTTGGCTAGTTCACTGATGAATTTGGGTACTCCGAACTTAAGCCCAGTACAATGCTTCACTCGAATTTCACAAACTCTAGTTCGGGTAATTATGCGCCACCTTGTAGACTGGGTCATATTTTTGAGTCATAGGTCCATAACGAATCGAAGATAATTTTGAAACTTCAGAAAAGTTGAAAAAATGAACATCTTATATTTCTAGGAGACAACAATATTGGGAACTTGAGGATTAATAATTACCGTAATTACAAGAAAACTTATCAGCTAAACATTTTTTTGTAAAGTTCTTACATGAACCGACAAAGTCCAATTTTACTTGAAAAGATATAGAAGTACATCTCTCATCTAACTTCTTCGTGATTATCTTTTGATACTGGATGCACTTACTGTTAAAAAATAAATAAAGAAATATTAAAAAATTTGAGATGGACCCGAATTCAGAAAGATGGGCCTGCCGATTCTTCAAACAGAAGCCTACCCTATCCGTATAATTTGACCTCAATTGTCTCATTTCCTGTCAAAGAAGTCAAAAAGTTGTCAACTGATAAAATGTTACTGATATTATGATAAACATTTTATTAGTTGACAACTTTTTGATATCTCTTTTAGTAACCGAGATAATTATGCTCAAAGTGCAAGTAAAGGATATCCCATATGGGTTGCAATAAGAACAAATACGATAATGGTACTGTACGTTAGATAAATTGGAACAATTTGAAAATAGAGAAATGGATAAAAAACAAAATTGGATAAACAACACAATTCTAGCCTGCAAGAATTTTCAAAAGAGATAAAAATAGTTGTAGTCTGGAAATTCGATATCCCTAGTCGATGACTAGGCCAGAATGGGGTGAAGTTCGCACGGTGAACGTCTCTTTTTTTAAACGAGATTCCTTCTTTGAAGAATTTGAGGAAACTAGAAAACACATGGAATACGTTTGAGCTAATTTCCAAAAGAGCTCAATTAACGAAATGTACTTTTCCTTCCTAGACTAAAAACGTTTGGAACTAAAAGCAGTACCCACTTGTTGGAATGGCGGTGGATCCCAAAGAATGCACATAAATTGTGCACTCTTTTCCCCCAACTCAATGACTTTTCCTATCTTTCTTCTTATCCATTTCTTCATGTTCTTCATTGATAAGAGATGACATGATAAGTGACAGGTGCGGTCGGGGGGACGGACTACAACTTAAAACAAGAGCCATATGGCCGAATTCCTAGAATCAAACGAATCATTTTCAGATCAGAACAAGAAAAAAAATGTTGTGGTGATATAATAAAACTAAAAAATCGTTTGGTCTTATCACTCTTTCGGGGTCCCCAGGTCGGAGGATGGCTGGGAGGATAAGAGACGAAAGGGGCCTCCGGAGAGAGGAAGATTTATCACGACTCCCTCTCTTTTTGACACAGTGTAACACACACCGGTGAGTCCCCGCCATTCATTTATTTTCATTTTTTTTTCACCACTTCATCATGATTCTTCACTTCTCTAGTCGTTCTCTTCTTCTTGGTGATACCTTTTTTGCGACTCATCTAGTCATAAAAACTTTGTTTTCACTTTTCACTCACTCGTTTTCTTGTCATAAAGTATTCGAGAGAGAGAGAGAGAAAAAATAAAGGAAGAATAAGAGACTGGAAAGAGTAAAATGAGGATGATATTGGGTTAGAAACAGAAAAAAATTATTGAGAACCCAAATTTTCGTTTTTTTTTGCTGGCATGTGCAAACTAAAATAACATTCCAAAATATTAAGTATCGAAACTGTCGTAGATGATCCCCCCCCCCCCCCCCCCCGAGCTTTGAGCTCAATTATCTCGGTTCATATAAGAGGTATCAAAAAGCGGTCAACAAAAAAATATTGGCAATATTATGACAATCAACTTATTAGTTGACACTTTTTTGATATCTTTCCAAAGAACCAAGAAAAATTGAGCTCGAATGCAAGTATATGGTGGGCATCTATTAGAGTGTTGGAGTACATATTAGAGGGCTTACGGTCACTAGGTACCTAGAAGAGGTATTCGAAAATGTCTGAATAAAAGTGATTTCATTGTTTCGTTGAATATTTTATCAGTTAAATACTTTTTCATATCCTTCGCCGTAAATGGAAAATTAGACTCAAACGTAGTACTCATGGACCCGACTATTACTGGTCTTACGGTATCCGCATTTTGGTTTTTTTTTTGAAAATTAGAGCTCTGAAAAATTCCGATTTCCAAACTGGATTTGAATTTCCTCCGATGAGTTTGTCTACCAAAGTTTTATAACTACCATAAACTTTCTGAATAACGTACACTGAAATCTGTAATAGAACCCCAGAGTCCTCTAACATTCAACTTTAGGCTAATTTATCTCAGTTCCTATAAGAGATATCAAAAAGTAATTAACGTATAAAATGTTCATCATGTTATCAGTAACATTATATCAATTGTCAGTTTTTTTATACTTCTTATAAGAATCGAGATAAATTGACTCAACGTTTGGGGTCATTCTATTAGAATGGTAGTGTACGTCATAAAACAATGGAAATTTGAAATCGTTGAGCAAAGTACCACGATTTTTGACTAGGTTCCAAAAGTTTGGAAGATTCGAAAATTATAAGTTGTAAAAAATGAAACATGTAATTTCAGGAGTATAAAAAGATGTGAAAAAATGCCTAAAATTGAGAAATTCAAGAAAATTAAGGACAAATTAATTAGCTCAAAAATTGAACTCTGCATCTCAAAGGGAAAAAATTTCACACTGATTGTGAACTTCACCAGGGCCAAAAATCTATCATTTCTCGAAAAACCGAAAAACCGATATATCATCGGAAGAGGGGCGAATTTTCACACTTTATCTTTGATCAGCTCAACTTTTTTGCGGGCAGGTCACTGATTGACAAAAGGTTGACAACAATCGGACGTTTTGTTTTGACACATACTCTTTGCTTTATGAAAAACGTAGAGATTCATTAGTAATTTGAGACAAAGCGGTCAGAGGTAACGGAACTTTGTTTTGGAAATCAACTGGGTGGGAGAAGGTTCTAGATGCTTGATTGGGATGTTTCAGTGATAAAGAAGAGATCAAATGGACCAAATAATTTTCAATGGAAGACACATTTTGAAAATTATTTTTTAAAAACTGACCGGTTTAAAAATATTGGTTACTGTTTGTTTTGGATCAATGAGTGGATGATATCATTATCAGAGACAGTGAGATCGTATTGGAAAACAGACAAATATTGAAAAATCAATTTGAAGATAAGCCGCTAATCCAGACTCACAATATCCGAAATTCTCTTTCTCTCCTGACCAATAAATCTCAAAATCTCACCTCCGACCCAAGATTACCTAGAAATTGGACTCCTGGAAATCTCACGACTCCTGGAGGTCCTTCACGGGACAAACAAGACAAAAAAGTGTGTCAGAACTAGAACCAGAAGACGTTGGAAGAAGCACTTGGAAACTAGTGCTCGGTGGCTCATTTTCCAACTCCTCCTCTCTTTTAGGGGGAGCGCACTGCTCCAGAAACATTGACGGTGGGAAAAACAAGCATGGAAAACGGATTGGATGAGCTCAAAGACAGAAGATGGGCAAAAAAAGGAAAAGGAAGAAGGAAAGAAACTGGGAGTGAGAATAAGTGAGGAGAAGAAAGGAGTGGGTTAGTTCGAAATTTGGAATTGGTTGTTGGAGAAACAAAAAACTGAATGGAATGGAATGAAAATGGAATAGAGGGAGAGAGAGATGATAGGTGGGTGGTCTTGGTACAAGAAGGGGAAACGATGGGAGAGAAGGAATGGGTTGTGCAGAATGGGATGTGGAGGGGAGGATCCAAGGGTTCGTAGATCTTCGGTTGTTCGGATTAATGGAATCCAGTAGGTATCATGGATAAGGTAGTCTGGGATTCAAGAGTACTAGGATTCCAAATAAGATTATAGCAATTAAAATAGCACGCCGTATTTTCTCTAGTAGAAGCCATTATCAACTTTGAACTTAGTTATCTCGGTTCCTTTAAGAGATATCAAAAAGATGTGAACTAATAAAATGTTACTGATAATACGATAAACATTTTATCAATTGATAACTTTTTGATATCTCGGACAGGGATGAGATATAGGGGTTCAAAGTTGACGGTTTCGGTGGGCTTTTATTACAGGTTTTATGGTTGAAAAAGATGCTCGGTTCAAAATAAATGTGTTATCAATATCTAGGAATCCTAATTTTTATGAGTTTAAACTTTTAAAAATCTCAAATCTTATTATTCCTAGGCATCACGAATCCAATAAAATCCTAGGAATTCCTTCGGTTCTACTTACTGACACTCTGACAGAGTGACCCCCCCCCACTAACTTTTAGCTTTGAGCAGATATATCTCGGTTTCTGTGCAAAATATCAAAAATGTGTCAACTGATAAAATATTAGAGATATCCTGATCAACACCTTATCCGTTGACCACTTTTTGATATCTTGCCCACGAACCGAGATAAATTGGCTCAAAGTTAAAAGCTTGACAGTTAACTTGCAACTTCCCGATGCTCTTTGTAACCTACTACTACTGCAAGAAAAGTATAGCGGAGGAATTCTTAATCAAAAGTTCATCTACTACATTTTTATTGCTAGGTCTGACGCACATGGATGTCACGACACGTGGATCTTGAAGCTTCAGAATTTTAAATCAATGGTTTTCATAAAGGGCTACAGAAATCCTGGCCTAACAATAATTGGTTAGTTCAAACCGTTGATAAGCTCATGATTATCAGGTTCACAACGAAATCCCTTACTATCCTCAGAATTCAGAACTTCCTCAACTAGTGGAACCCACTTCTAACTAACCAGACCTCTTTGAAACGCGATCTCTGCTCGCTATACACCTTCGCTAATAGCGACGCAAAACAAAAGTCTAAAAACTTCTAGAGACACTATGCGGTCATCATCATCATCCACAAGCTCCGCCCCCTCCCCGTCTTCCCCACTTTTCTCTCCCGCTCATTGTCTTCTCGTCCCAATAGTTTTTATGCCGAACTCCACGCTCATAAAGTTGACCATAAAATCCATTCGACTTCTTATATTCGCTTCAAACCGGATGATGTTGTGAAGGGAAGAATGCGAATTTTCTCCTGGTGAGCAAGAAGCACCGTGCAGATTGACGACATCCTTTTTCAATTAGGACTCTCTTTCTCGAGCTCTCCCTAGTTCCAAACCGATCCATCATACAAACCAATCCACTTTTTTCTGGTCCGGGTGGTTTAGGACAACTAATCAAGCCAAGATTCGAAAGGTAGATAGAGTTTAAAATAGGGGAAGAAAAAAGAGAAGGGGTCAGTGGAAAATGAGGAAAAAAGAAAAGCAAAAGGATGAGGAGGAGGAGGAAGGGACTGAATTTGATTTTGACGAAACGGGGGTAAAAAAGGGCGGAGAAACGAATGAAGAGGATATAGGGGGATGAGTTGAGTTGAGCAATGGACTTTCTCCTCGCATTTTTTGGAATTTGATCTGATAAAAAAAATGAGAATAGCCAAGATCATCAAACATCGAAAATAGTACATATTGGGTATTTTCAGACGTTATAAATGTTCGAATACAGTAAACCTGAAATAGAGGGGACCTTACATTGAGCTCAATTATCTCGGTTCCCATGGAAGATATCAAAAATGTGCTAACTAATAAAATGTCTGTGATATTATGATAAACAATTTATTAGTTGACAAGTTTTTGATATCTTTGACAGGAAACGAGATAAATTGGTTCAAAGTTGAAAGTTAGAGGTGCCCTTCTATTGCAGGTTGTACGGTACCACAGAATTCTAAGTACATTTAGCGTCGATCATTTCAGGAGCAAGCTGATTACCACTTGAGTCGGTCATTTGAAACTGCTTGTTTCTGAAAAAAAACAAACTTCCAGAATAGTTTGAAACATACATAACAATCCGAAAAAATTGCCGAAAATCTGAAACTGCACAAGAAACACGATGTACGGAACCCTAGAGGTTTCTAGGTCGGGTTGTGCAAGTCACGGCCGCGGGCGGCCATGACTCAAAAATCCCACAAAACGAGCTCCACCCATGAATTCTTCTTGGGTCTACGTATAAGTAAATTGACCCGAAACTACCGTAAACCTAATTTACCGCTATTCATCCTTTTGTCGGGTTGTTAGCTCTGGTAAATGTGACAAGAAGCCCATTAGCTACCGTATCTCTTTTGACCAATTCAGACTTCATGACTTTCGACCGAGCCTGAAATCCTTTTTGGCGTTTCGAGCCTCATAAAAATCCTTTATAGCTGTACGAGAACATTAGTCACCTAATGACCCACAACTACCCTCTGAATCGGGACTCATTCATCTTATTTCACCCAATTCGCACCCATTTCCAAAAACGATTCTTCGCCTCCAGCTTCTTCTCAAAGACGAAGAGGGCACATTAATTGGGTGCTGCTGCCCTATTTGAGCTTATGTGTGGGAGCATTTGGATTACTCACCAACCACCCACACGGCTCATTTGTGGTCGGAAAAAAAGAAAGAAAATGGAATGGTTTTATTGGAAGAATGATAGTAAGCAGAGAGGGTCTAGGCAAAGAGATACGGTGCACGCCAAGCGATGATGATGGATACGATAATGATGAGAATCGAGAAGACCAGAAGGCAAAGGCGGTCGACGACGATGGCGGCGAATCGCCATTCAAGGGCGACGCGGCTGTCTTCGTCATTGTCGTCGTCGTGTTCACGGATCATCTGGAATATGGGATTTTCAAAAGAGCAGACAGACATTACGAGGAACTGGAAAAAGGTGGAAAATGAGGGATCAAAGACAAACCTTAACATGATCATAGATTTTCTGCAACACCCGCAATCTTTCGACACTTTTCTCATCTGTCGATTTCTCCTGTTTGACCTGATAAATGAGTTCCTCAAAATTTTCTTTCAACATAATTCCCATTGTATGTATCTGGGTAACGGGTCCGTCTGCATACTCAAATGCAGTTCGAGCCATCGACTCTCTCCGATTTCTCATTTTCCAACTATCTTTCAGAGTGGCCATGTTATTGTCACGATCTGGCATTTTGATTCTTAACAGCCACGGAGACCATTCCAGGAGAATAAATCGCATCTGGAAGTTGACCAATAATTTTAGGATCCATAATGAAAACAAAAAGAAGGACCAACCCAAAATCCCATTCTCTCATGAACATGTTGATTCCGGAAATGAAAGCTTTGTACATATACTGTAAACGAGGTGGCTAGAACTGAAATGGCGTTACAGGTGTGGAAGAAGACTCCGAGGAGCGGGACGGCTTCAGAAGTCTGTGGAGTTAGTTCACTCATGATTGTGAGGAAGATACAGATGGCAAGAGAGACGGATATCTGAAGATAGGGGGAATTGGAAAACTGAGTATTGGGAGTCGAATACCTGTAGTCCAACTTTTTCGCAAGTTTCTGGGCTAACCGTGAATCCAAGGATAACCAGAACCATGGTGAGAAGGACAGGGGCGATGAGGTTAAAAGAGTAGTATCTGGAAATATTGAGATTCTGACAATCTTAATTTCACAAGGCCTATTATATCGACATTGTTAGAATAAGGAATTATCGGGACGGACCCTGTAATTTCAGTTTCTCATAAGAATTGAAACAAGCGCGAAATTCTCGAAGAATCTTCGTGAAGAAGTTCTCCTGTAAGATTCCAAAAAACTGTGAATGGGAGAGTTCAGAGAATCTCAAGGTGACTTAGCTTTAGGATTCGTACCATCAAACTTTTTATTTCATTTAGACTTTTCAAAATCTCAAATTCCTATAAGCTTCTTGAAATGCTGATATACCGTATTCCCTCTGAAAGAAGCCCAACCGTCAACTTTAAGCTCAGTTATCTCGGTTCTTTTAAAAAATACCAGAAATTGGTCAATTGATAAAATGTTGGTGATATTATGATAAACAATTTATCAGTAGACAAAATTTTGATATCATTCATAGGAGCTGAGATCATTGAGCTCAAAGTGCACGGCTTCTAATTGAGCAAATAAGGCATAGGGATTTTGCGAAATGTCGAGCTTACTGTATTTAAAGAAAAAATATCAAAAGTTAGGTCATGACCTAGAAAAAATTAGGTCATGACCTAGAAAAAATTGGGACATGACCCAGAAAAAATTAGGTCAGAATCTAGAAAAAGTTACGATATGATCTAGAAAAAAAATAGGTCATGACCTAGAAAAATAGATATCTGGTAAACGAGCCAAGACAATTAAGCACGAAGATGATTGGCGTCTATTAGAGGTAAAAGCGGTATACCGTAAACACTAATGAAAGGCCATCGTATACATTTACTTTAAGCCTATATATCTCGGTTCCTGTTACAGATATCTAAAAGTGATCAACTGACAAAATGTTTATCATAATATCGAAAATGTCTTGTCAGTTGACCACTTTTAGATATCTTTCACAGGAACCGAGGTAATTAAGCTCAAAGTGGTGGGAGTACATGGTGACCTTCTATTAGAATGCTTAAAGTATTTCAGACTTACAATGTCCTTCTCCTCAAATGAAGTGTAAAAGTGATATCTTCGTATTGCTCAGGACAACATTCGTACTGCTTCACAGTGATATTCGTCCGATTGCTAATGATAATCCACTCCCCATTTGGAATGAATTCCGAGAAATCAAAATCCCCCTTTTCCAGCTCTATCTTATCACGAGTATATGTCCAAGACCCAAACTGAAATTATATTCTTATCGAAAAGTTGCTTGAAACTACACTACCTTAAAGTAACAAATCTGCTCATCAAACGGAAACCAATAAATATCAAGTTTACAGGAAACTTTGAAAATGCCTGGAGGCATCCAATTGATATATCCAGTATGGTAATTGACTAGGTTCACTTTGTATGAGGAATCAAACTCCGCGTCGACGCTGAAAAAATTGAAAAAAAAATGTTTTTCATAGATTCAAAGAACTTCGGAAGTCACCTATTATAAAGAAGAATATCTGGAGTCCACAGAGCATCCGGCGGGTGTCGTAGATCTGTCACGTTCTCATACGCCGTCGGCTCCCATCGTAAATTCTCATCTCGCCAGGAGAACTTCAGCCACGCGTTCACTTCTAGTTGCTCCTCTTTTTCAGACTTAAATTAACAATAGATAAAATGATAAGGAATCTTAAGGGTCGTCGATTTCGAATTAGGAGTTAGGCGCTGTTAAGTTTGAGCTCTATTATCTCGGTTCCTATCAAAGATGTCAACAATATGCCAACTGATAAAATGTTCATGATATTATGATAAACAATTTATCAGTTAATAACTTTTCCATATCTTGAAAGCGAGATAATTGAGCTCAAACTGGACGAATAAGGCTACCTTCAATGATCTTTATTAATCTTTGACCTCAATTATCTCGGCAACTATAAGAGATATCAAAACTGTGTTAATTGATAACATATGCATCATAATATAGTTAGCATTTTATCAATAGACGAATTTTCGATATCACTCATAGGAATTGAGATAAATTGGTTCAAAATTAGTGAGCCCTTCTGTCACAGGTTTTACGATAGATTACTGTACTTTTCACTAGACTTTCACATGGTTAAATTTCCTAAAAACTCACCAAATTAATAATCTGCTGCAACGAGACCCCTAGCATCACTTTCACCGGTTTCGAGCTATCCAGAATCGGTCTCTCTTCCCGAACATATCCCGACATGAGATCATTGATAAGTCGAACTTCAGCGGCGGACCCATTTGATTCGGTGATTAGGTGTAAGAGGGTAATTAGAAATAAAATGAGGTGTGTCAGAAGCATCCCGGAGCATCCAACATGGGATTTCTGGAATTCATGGAGGGATAGAGAGACAGAGAGGGAGAAGAGAGACGTAGAGGGAAAAGTGAAACGAACGAAATGAAACGGATGGGAGCCAGAGGAAAGGGACAACTGTTGTTGCGATGGGAGAAGAGAAAACCAGAGAAAATGATTTACAAGGTTTACTTTAGAAACATTGTCTCTTCTGAAAGGTTCCAAAAAACTAGGATTCGTTTCAAAATCTTTTTCCTCTTCCACTCCCAAAAACCTGATCAAATTACGTCTTCTGTGTCATCACCAGCGAATTCTATTCCTCTTCTTCAACCACCCTCGCGTCTTGGCTCATAAACTCCAAATGGGGCCCCATTTCGTTTCTTGAATGTGTGAAACTTCAGTGCCATCTCTTTTAGCGGCTTTTGGTCTTCACTACATAAATTGGGCTATGAATTGGAAATGAAAAAGAGGGTATTCGAAGAGAAACCAGTTAGGGGACCAGAAGACAAAACAATTTTTTTTGCCATTCTCGTTTGTGGCGGGCAGAAACCGATTTGTAAATCTCAAGGGGATCCCATGCCGAAAATGGGCAATAGGCCCGCTTGTCTTCGCCTTGCTTTTAAGTACTTTTTGGTTTGTACTGACGCTACTTCTTTTTTGCGGCTAATGGGTTCGTAATCATTTCACTCTGGGGACTTTTTGAGAGAGAGAGAGAAAGAGAGAAAAAAAAAGAGAGAGAGAGAGAGAGAGAGAGAGAGAGAGAGAGAGAGAGGGAGAGAGAGAGAGAAAAGAAAACAAACAGGTGTACGGAGTCGTTTTTGATAGTGAAAAGGGAGATGATGATGATGAATGAGGGACAAGGAGCTAGGTGGTCAGAATGAAAAAATTGATTTAAATTTTTCAAAAAGTGTAGCAAACAGTCAACTTTAATCTGAATTATCTTTATTCCTGTGAAAGATATAAGAATGTGGTAAACTAATAAAATGTTTATCATAATATCATTAGCATTTTATCAGTTGACAAAGTTTTGATATCTTTCACAGGAACCGAGATAAACTGATTCAAAGTTAACAGTGTGAGGGCCCCTCTATTACAGGTTTTACGGTAGTGGTTTTACGGCAAAAATAGACGACTCAAGCAAAAAAAACAAATAATTTAAATCGCGCTTGTCCTAATCTTGTCCTATCCTTGTGCTATCCTTGTATCTGAAATTAATCGCTTTCGTTCTCACCGGCTGTCAAGTAATGGAGCCATAAAAATCACTTCAATAGCACCCAACACATGTTGGGAAAGTACTAAAACTAGTAGGATCAATATCAAAAGTTCAGAGAGTCCACATTGAAAAAAGTGGTGTAGAAAAGTGATGAAGAGTCTCTGGATACCGTAAACCCTTTTATAGAATCACCCCTCCTCCTTTAGCACTTAACTTTGAGACGATTTATCTTGGTCCCTGTGAAAGATATCAAAAATAAGTCAACTGATAAAATGCCTATGATATTATGATAAACAATTTGTAAGTTGATCACATTGTGATATCTTTAACATGAACCGATATACAGTACCGGTCAATAAGATATACAAAAACATATTTTTCAGTTGAATTTCGGCAACATTTGTCCATTTTCAAGAGTCTGGAGCTCGGTTGTCAAGTAAAATTTGGGACAATGTAAAACAGATCTAAATTCAAAACTTTGCATTTACAGAATTTTTCGGAATTTCCGAGTTTTTGAGATATTTGTCGGTTCCAGAAGGACACCCCTTTTAGCCCGTTTTTGTACTGAAAACGTGTTAGTGATTTTCCATAGGATCTGTTTTTAAATTTTGGAACTCCCTGACCTCCCAAAGGTTTTCAAAAGTTTAAAATTCTCCAGGTGGTCCAATGTCAACTTCAAAATACCAATATTCATCTTATCGCCCACTCCATTCATTCGACCACTTATCTCCTCCTCCACCCATCCCCGGAATCCAGTTACTCATCATCCATTACTTGCTTTTTGTGTGTGAGCAACAAAAAAAAACTGCGCCACTTTGTCTCCTCGTCACAGAGACTTCTAAAAACCAAACCGTTTATTTTTTTTGTGTTTTTTGTCTCAATTTCTCTCTAACAGTTTTTGTTAATTATAGAGCATTCCATTGCTGAGAAGACGAGAAAGAACAGGCGAAAATGATTTTGATACGTCAAAATCAACCGAATGAGCAATAGTAGAGAGACGCCAGACACAATGAGATGATGCTTCCTCTACTATATCAGTTCTCGATATCAACGAAATTTCGGAAAAAAAGGGAGGCAGGAAGGAGGAGGGGTTTGTTTGCCGATACCGACTCTCGTTTCGCATAGGAGGATCAGCAGGAAGGGCTCTGAGAGGAACCGGAAAGAAAACGGGTACGGAAAAAGAAGGCAAGGATCCGGGTTTCGAAAAAAAAGATAAGTGCTTCATTTTCCATTTTTTTTCTTATCACAACGCAAAAAAAAGACAAAAAATACATTGAAGTATATGTACAACAATTGGATAGATAATGGGGTCAAAATTAGGTCAAAATTAAGAAATAATTATTAAATAAAGAGAGAAAAATAGACACAATGAGAATATCCTAATCGAGCAACTACAAAAATAGTCTAACCGGGGGGAGAAAGGCAACACCAATACATTCGACATGGGGGGACGTGATCAAGGGGAATGGAACGGGTCTAAAGGGGTTTCAGTGGTTGATGAAAGGCGCAAAACTGGGTAAAGGGGAGATATAAGACACATGAAAGAAGCGAATATTCTAGAATGGGAAAATCATAAAGTGGGGGATTACGCAACACCAAGGGATCCAGTCGATCGTCGGCGTAGTCGGAGGAGGTCGTCGGATTTCACGTCCAGGATGTTTTCGGAATCGGGGGAATTGATGATGTTCTCTTTCTCGTCGGGTCGGTGCCAAGCAGCGGTTCTGGAAAATAATGTTTTGTTTTCGAAAAATGAAAAAATTATTGGCACGGCAGCCAAAAACGATTGTGGTTACCGTAGCCCACCCTTTATGTGCCTTTGAGCTCAATTATCTCGGCTCCTAGAAGAGAAATCAAGAATTCGTAAACTGATAAAATATTGGTGACATTATGATGAACAATTTTTTACTTGAAACTTTTATGATACCTTTTGAAAGAACCGAGATAAATTGATTCAAAGTTCAAAGTTAGGTTGACCTTCTATTACAGATTTTACGGTATGACTGAGCAGCCAAAAAAAGCAAGTTACGTTTTTTATGTTAAAAAGGTTTCAAACAAAATCAGACTCACCTATAAACCTTGGTGTGCACCAAGTGTCCCATCTTATCATAGACAAAAGTTTCCTCGAAAATCTGGCGATACCAATATTCCTCTGTCGTTTCTGGCGTCCTGTCCGGAAAGCGCTCCGCCCGTTGCTCGTACAATTCCTTCGAAATCAGCTTATCACAATGACTAGCCAAAATATCACCTAAATCAGTTTTTCCCAGAGCCTCAGCAAATCCTTCCTTGCTTCTCCAAAGAACCTCATCCGGCAACCATCCTTCAAAGGCACTTCTCAACAGATGTTTCTCCAATTTCATTGGCATCAATTTGTAGGTTGGTGGAAGACGGCTAACTAGGTCAATGAATCTTTTGTCAAGGAATGGAACACGGATTTCAAGGCCATGGCAAGAGGTGGAACGATCGCAGCGGAGCACATCGTACTGGTGGAGATGTTGCATTCTGCGGAGGATTTCCTTGTGGAGGTGAAGAGCATTTGGTGCTCTTTGCATATAAGCATAACTTCCGAAGAGCTCATCTGCTCCCTCTCCTGATAACAGAACCTTCACATCTGAGCTCTTTGAGATGTGTTGACAAAGGAGATAGTGGGCGATTCCACATCGGATGATCAGTGGGTCAAATGTTTCCAGAGCGAATACCACCTCTGAAACAGACGGATAAATATTAGGGGTTGAGTCAATAATAGTGGGTGGGTTACCTGGAATAATATCAACACATTGCTGTGGCGTGATCACGAGAACTTCATGTGGGATTTTCAGGTAGTCAGCCACTTTCCGAGCGGCCTCGAGATCCGGAGAGTCTTCAAATCCAACCGAGAAAGCGACTGGTTTCTGCTTCAAAAATCTGGTGGCAATGGAAGCGATCAGCGAGGAATCAAGTCCTCCTGACAACATGAATCCGAAGTTGCGATTTCCCATCAATCGTTTCTCAACAGACTTTACGAGAATATCTCGAACCAAGGTTTGTGTGCATTCAATGCTCAAAAATCTATCCGCAATGCTTGGAACCGAATAGTACTGCTGTGGCTGAATAGGTCTGCTCGGAGCTGCCAAGCTGATCGTCGCACAGCATCCAGGTGGGAAATATTCCACTCTCTCGCACAATTCCTCAATACATTTGACTTCGGACCCAATGAGAAGGGAACCTGAAAATGACGTCTTTTGTTTGAGAATTTCGAGTGTGTCTGTTGACTGGAAATCTAATGTGTCTCTGCATTTGTTTGATTTTTTGGCCTAAGTAGACTGGTTGGCAGCCGTGTCTCCTTACCGTTCAAATTGTACCCATAGAAAAGTGGTCTGACTCCGATGGGGTCTCGTCCGATGTAGACGTTCTTTGAGTCTGCCATGATGAAAGCGAAGACTCCATCTAACGAAGCGCAGGTCTCCTTGAGGTCTTCATCTATAAAAAGATCAATAGGTCGTGCTTTGTTTTTGTTTTAGATGTTTTTTCGAGTGGGGGAGGTCAAACAGCCCATCTCAAAGACAACAAAAAACCAGACCAAAAACTCACTGTGCTTGATGAATGACGTAATGATTGCTGCACAATCGCTTCCACCATTTTTCAAAGTGTAAGGGCAATCGATCTGCAACTCTCAAAAGTCCAATCAGAAATCAGATCAAAAGTTGATTACCTTCAGCGACTGATGGTTGTAGATCTCTCCATTGCAAACGACAGACAAACCGCCGCCGACAATTGGTTGAGCGCTTGGAGTATCTCCGGGCTTCAAAAAAGTATGTTACATGAGAAATGGGAATTGAAATTCCTTACCATAACAATTGCTAAGCGATGGAATCCCAAATGTACATTCGGTTGGACCTCATCCAGTACAGTAAGATCTGGACCACGGCCCACGATCTTCATGAACGCATCCTGCTGTTGTGGGGTGACTTGTTCGCCAATTATGGCCCAAATGCCGCACATGACAGTAGGATGGGGGATGAGAAGTGTGAATGAAAAGGAAGTTTGAAAGTTTGGTTCGGAAGATCCGAAGTTTCTGAAAGAGTAAAAGTAAGGAAGAGAAGAGTTACACGTGTGAGAGGAAGGGCATACGGAAGAGATAGATTTGAAATGAATGAGCTTCTTGATGATGAGAAAATGAAGTGCACTGACGGTCGGCGGTGCGGAGCCAGATAGGCTTATAAGAGTGCGCGCGGAAAGGTGGAGTCTGTGTCTCACACTACTAGGGGGGGCTGCTCCTGCTCACCCCACGGGCGGACTAGTTGGGTGATGATAACCGTAGAATCTGATCTGGTGTCGGGGCCTGGGAGGCGACGCAGACGACTAGAGAGCACCTTCTCTGGTGCGAGATGGGATAATGACCCGATTGATTTGCGAGAGGTCATGGAACAGGAGCACAGCGCCCGCCGCCGTCGCCTCGGTTGCGCAGGATCCCAATCAGACTCCACCCAGTCAGATTGACTCTCTCCCTCCCTCTCGTATGATCTTGCTCTCTCTTGCACGGGTGATGATGGCAGGTAGGAGCACACGCCGTGGGTTCTCGGGCGCCCGGGGCTCCGCCCTCCGACCTCTTACGGAAGCTCCTCTCGTGTGCGAATCGGAGGCGGAAAAGATGCGAGAGCGAATGATTCTCGCAGCAACCGATGGAATGGGAATGTTGGGGAGAGAGCGTCGGAACGTCGGAGACGCCGCCTGTTTTCTTGCTTTGAAAATGGAGAGCAAAAAGAGAAGAATCATCTTCCTTTTACCTCGCCCATCTCTCGTCAAAAAGGGGAGGTTGTTGCCAGCAGCGCCCTCCCGTCATATACCAGCTTGCGTACTCTTGCGTGTGTCCGAGACATTTGGGCTCCTCCCGGTGGTGTCAGTCTCAGTTACCTATATTTCCATTTTAGACCATCACACATACATTGTCTACTCGCCTCTCTTGCAAACTTGCGCACACTTCAATTCCAGCTTCAGCTGCTCCCAGACGATGATGCATAAAGATACAGGTTAGTCTGTTTGCACTTGACTTTTTGGCTCCGAATGTTTAATGAGATCATCTTTCGGGGGGAGAGAAAAGACTCACGCGCGTGTGCCGGTGATAGTGCTCTCCGGAAAACCGGACCAAAGTCAAACTTTGGTGACAAGTTAAAAGGCACAGTCACAGGAGTCAGTTGCACCCGATGTGTCGGCGGGTTCCAAGAAGGAGAGCATATGGATGGGGGTCCTAGATTCCTAAGATCTGAGAACAGTCATATATTTATTTATCGGTGACCCCACTTGACTCTGAACGCATCATTTCGCACCTAGGCCATTTTGACCGCAAACCGTATCATCCCATTTTTGATCATTCAGTTTTCTTTTGTCTCTGCTTCGAGGTCAGAATCCTCGGTCCAAAATGTTTTGTACTTGTTTTTCCTTGCTCCCACGCAAGTAACTCAACCCATACGATCCTCTTGTTTTTGAGCCCAATATTTTTTTTGCAAAAAAAAAAACAACAGTACCTATTTGCCAAGCAAATAGTAATCCACCCCCCTCCTCAACTGAATCTTTCATCGTTTTCTGAATGTTGTAATTTTCATCAGCCATTCGGAACAATTGGCTCTCTATAGGTACACTTTTGCTTCTTTTTAACGACGCTATAGAAGACATCATCCAGGTGAAATTGGGTACTTAAATATCTTGGAGAAGAGAGTGTCTCAGTTTAAAATGGAGTCCAGCAGAAAGCAAGATGAAGTATATAGATAAGATTTTGAACCCAGGATTCCAGGAGAAATTCCAAATATGCACCATGTTTTGTTTCGTAATCTATTCCTTCTTTTCCATCCATTCTCGAGACACATAACACAGAAAAAAAAAACAATACGAGACGGTGCGGAGCCTCCCGAGCACACACCATTTGAAAGAAAAATGGGTGATGATGATGCACACTTCCCGAAACCCGATTTCCGTATACGGCAGCTGCTGGCCGCGCGGAAGATGCTCCATGTGATGCGTAGGACACTTTTTTGAGTATTTGAGACGTCACTTCCTTACAAAGAATGAGGCAAAAAGTATGGTACGTCACTGTCGTACGGTATTGAATAGAATTCCGATTCCGATTCCTCAGGAATTTCGAAATCTTTAGATTCCTCGAATAAGAATTCGAAATGAGTCAAGTCTAAGGGTGACCTTTGAAGATGGACAAACAGACAGGTTTAGAAATAGGGGAGCTAGTTTATTTTGGTTGAGTGGATTAAGATGGGTTACGAAATAATGTAGATGGGTATGAGGAAATTCTGAGGTCAAAAAAGAGAGATTTTAAATTTAAAGATTTTAAATCTGAAATATCCCGACCTTTTTAGAGATTTTAAATCTGAAAAGATTTTAAATCTTTAAAGATTTTAAATCTGAAATATCCCGACCATATCTATAAGTAGTATAATCTGGATTTCAGTCTGGATGTAATCTTCCAAAAATAAGTTTTCCAGACTTTCTGAAACGACCGTACATGAAGCCGAAATGAAATCTAGTTCTATGGTTATATCATTTGTTGTGCTAGAAAAATAAATAAGGCTACCGAAAAATCTGTAATTGAAGGGCTTCTAACTGTGACCCAATTTATCTCAGATCCTGTGAAACATATAAAAAAGCTGGCAACTGATAAATTGTTTATCATAATATCAATAAAATTTTATCAATTTACAAAATTTTGATATGTGGCATGGGAGCCAAGATAGTTGCGCTCAAAGTGCAAGTACCATAAAAACTGTAACAGAACCCCCTCCCCCCTTTTTTATGTTTATCTTTGACCCAATTTATCTTGCTTCCTGTGAAAGATATCAAAAATTTGTCAACTGACAAAATGCTTTCGATATTACGATAAACATTTTATCAGTTTACACATCTTTTGTATCTTTCACCAGAGATGAGATATAAGAGCTTAAAGTTGACAGTTTGAGGGCTAGACACTATGACTAAAAATTAGGTCCTGGCTAAATAACTGTAACTTTCTGCACTCATGTTGGTCTTGAGAAATCAACAAAAACTGTTCCAAATTTCGAGATCTACGTGACTTCTCTCATCCATCTGATTTCCTTTCCATTAGCTGACACAAATGTAGCACAAAGAACGGTTTTGTGCAAAAGTCTAATCCTCAACCTTTTTTTGCTCCGTTTTCCAAACTATCAGTTACTCTTTTTATCTATTTACAAAGGTCTAAAGAGAGAAAGGAAATGAAAAAAAAGGCGACTTAGACTCTTTCAAGATCAACTGCGAAATTTCGAACGTGTGCAGCAACATGATCGCTGTACTTTCTCCCGCTTACGGAGGTCCTATCGGCGGTTTCATCTTCTTCCGATAGTGAAACTGAACAAACATGTTGTGAGAGTAGAGACAAGAGATACAGATACATACAAACAGGAGCAAAGAGTTGTAAAACGTGCGCGACGGGGTTCTTGAGCTCAATTACACGCCTAGTTTGGACTGATACCCGAGAGAGGAGTAATGACACGGAATAAACACAACTAAACAAGGATAAGATGAGTATATAAATGAAGGTAGAGGAAGTTACCCTACAGTTTTCTGATATTCCGCAACTTTTGCTAAAAAATGGTGGTGCTCACTAAAAAGTCGGTGAAAATCAGCTACGATGATGTGGCCAAGTCACCAGGTACGTCTGAAAATTTTTAGGAGGCGTGGAGGTACAAGAAGATAAGCTAGGGATTGTAGGTTTTAGGATAAGCCCGAAAAAAATTATATCAAGATTTGTGATTTTTTTCTCCGTCAAGGCTTGTTTCATTGGTTTTTTTAGAAATCGAAAATCTATTAAAACTACCGTAAGACCTGTAATAGAAGGGCACCCAGTTTGAGCTCAATTATCTCAGTTATAATCCAAGCTATCAAAAATGTGTCAACTGACAAAACAGTCCTGAAGTTATGATAAACAAGTTATCAGTTGACAGCGTTTTGATATCTTTGACAGGAACCAAGAGAGGGTCCTTCTATTGCAGGTTTTACGGTATCTACAGTAACCCCATAGCTGTTCGATTCAGCTTCAGAACTGTCACTTCTCTCTTTCCCACACTAAACGAAACAGTTGAAATATATATCAGGTCTTTTGAAAAGACGGCCCGTCAAAAAAATACTGTCCCCTTCCCCGTGTGTGCATTGGGCATTGGCATTTCCGCAAAATATGCGCGAAAAACCTTTTTGACGCGTGTTGGAGTCCGCGCGGCGCCTGTCTCTCTGATTCTAGGCGGCTACTGATCACTGCCCAAGAGACTTTTCACACACACACACACACACAAACATCTTATACATTTGCGCTCTTTCGAACGCTTCTTCTACTACCTCAATGCTTCTTGAAATTTTTGAGTGCATGTGTGAGAAAGTGATGCTTGTGGCTTCTATAGTTTAGTACAGCTGATAACACTTTGAAGATTGAGAAAAAACAGCTTTACTGTAAAACCTGTACTTTGAGCCAATTTATATCGATTCCTGTCAAAGATATGAAAAAGTTGCCAACTGATAATTTGTTTATCATAATATCAGAAGTGTTTTGTCAGTTGGCACCTTTTTGATATATTGGATAGGAATTGAGATAATTGAGTTTAAACTTGTGAGAGCCCTTTTAATACAGGGTTAACAGTAAGTCATCAGGATCATCATGAGATACAGTAAATGCTTATGTGTCCCCTAGATGCCAACTTTGAGCTAATTTTTTAGTTTTTTTTGAATTACTGGCTGTTGACAAAGATGAAATTGGAATGATTAGTAATCAAAATACCATGAGAAGAGAATTTTGAATTTCATAATTACCTTAAACACTCCAATGTAAGGATGCCGCAGCTAGACTTGCACTTTGAGCTCAATTATCTCAGCTCCCGTGCAAGATATCGAAAATGTGCCGACTGATAAACTGTTTATCATAAGATCAAAAACATTTTATCAGTTGGCAACTTTTTCATATCTTTAATATGAATTGAGATAAATTGGATCAAAGTTAAAAGTTAAGGGGCCCTTCTATTAAAGGTTTCAAGTTAATTACGTTTTGCTTTAAAGTAAAACTCACCAATACTAATTCTGTAAGAATTTTAGCTAATATGGCTATATACCATAAGTGGGGGAAAACGATTCTTAAATATAGTTCCTCAAAAACCAGCCACCACAAAACATCCGCCTCTAGAAACAGCATTTTTCAAAAAATAATGATTTGAACTCACTTATTTAGAAAATGACAAATTGGAATCACAGATCTCGCTCTAAAATCTGGAATCCGTCATTACTAATATTACTAGTTAATACAGTAGTTTGTGCCGCGCTCAAAAGATCTAAAACAGTTGCTTTCTGCAGACACACACACAAGATCACAGACTAAACACAGCTCCCGACCTTGTAAAATAACTTGTTTCTGATGAAATCGACTCCCAGAAAAAAGTTGTTAACCTCTGCACCCTTCCCCTGAGAGGTTAACAACCCCCCCCCCCCCCCACCGTTTTTTCCGTCCCCTCTCTCTGTGCTCCACGGAGCAATATCGTTCCGCGGGGTGCGAGAGAGATATCAGCCGCACGCGACAATACTGATGAGCACGCGGAGAGAGTCCAGACGGAAAGTGTACTTTTTCTCCCAATCCACCCCATCTTCCCGGGGCGCAGAAGAAGAGTAATCCTTCTGCTTCTCTGTGCCCCTTTCCTGATGCCAATTTCCGGTTACCATCTTCTTCCCCAACCTCTACCGGAGGGAGGAGGCAACGGGGCAAACAACTGGCATATAAAATGATAAGCGACCGTAGAGCATTACTACTTTCACATCCCCACATTTTCAATTTTGAAATCTTACAAAACCGTTTTTCCAGATCAGTTACTGCGATCAATGTCATCAGTACATCCGATCAGCGATGGCATTCCTTCACAGCAACGGCCTCTTACCTATCGGTGGTTTCCGTCGTGGAGATTCATGACATCTATCATGTTATGCTTCTGTTTCGGATGGTATGCAATTTTAATTTCAAAACTTGATATTAAAATTATTAATTTTCAGCGTCCATCTGATGAACAGCAACATGGGAATGGCCATCGTCTGCATGGTCAATTCCTCGGTCACCTATGACAACGAGACGTATCCCGAAAACGCGGCACCTCTTCTAGATTGGTCTTCTGATGAACAGGGATACATCTTCTCTGCCTTCAACGCAGGTCTCCTAGTAATGTTGTTCACTGGTGGCATGGCTGATAAATTCAATGCCAAATACATGATCCTTGTCAGTGTTGCCATTGCATCTCTTGCCAATTTGACACTTCCATTTATGGCACCAATCAGCGTTTACTGGGCGATTTTCAGTCGGTTTTTGGTTGGATTCGCTGATGCTCTCTTGCAACCAGCTATGAACTCTTTGATCACCAGATGGTTCCCAACATCCGAGAGAAGTTATGCTTTAGGATTGGCTACTGGTGGAAGACAAATCGGTGAGTTATTTTTTTCAAATTCCAATATCTAGGATGAAAGGATAGATCGAGTTCTTACTTTGTTAAGGTACATGCAGTCTTGGACTGTAAGGCGTTTTGGCCAAAGCCTATAACTCTGAGTTAAAATCGAGACAGTGTAAAAACATACCACAAACCCCATGTATTCTTAGAACCAATGTAACCCAAGAACTCTATGTATCCTTGAATACTGTACCAAGTTTCAACCATTAATGTTTTTTTTTTTCAAACAATATGATTTTCAGGAACCCTCATTATCATCCCAGCAGCAGGAGCCCTTTGCTCTCAAACTGAAATCTTCGGTGGATGGCCATCAATCTTCTACCTCTCCGGATTCATTGGAATTATCTTCATCTTCTCCTACATCTTCCTCGGCGCCGACAAGCCATCCAAACAAACTTGCATTACTGATAACGAATTGAAATTTATCACTATCTCCAACCAATCCGAAGATGTTGGAAAGAAGAGAACCGAGAGAAAGGTCCCATGGAAGAACATTCTCACTTCTGGAGCTGTCTGGGCTTCCGTTATCTCTCTGGTCTGCCACGAGTTCCCACTGATGACCTTGATCATGTTCTTGCCATCCTATCTCCATGATGTTCATCACTATCATTCCACAGAGAACGGTATCCTCTCTGCTCTCCCAACTGTCTCCCTTTGGTTCGCTAAAATTGGATCTTCCTACTTGAACACGTGGCTTCAAAAGAACACCAGCTGGAAGAAGGACACCATCTGCAAAGTTCTCAACTCAATTGGATCCATTGGATTGGGAGTTTTCCTCTTAGCTGCTACCTTCCTCGATAAGTCTCATGCTTGGATGGCTGTTCTGTTCCTCTGCCTTTCCATGGCTTCCGCTGGACTCCACACCCCTGGATGTCAGCTTGCTCTTGTTTCCGTGGCTCCTGCTTACTCTGGAGCTGTCACTGGATTCACGTTCTTCTTCGTTGCTGTTTCCGGAATCATTCATCCAATCATCACCAAGATGATTGTTAAGGATCGCACCGCTGCCGAGTGGAACTTGGTTTTCTATATTTCAACCGTTATTGCCATCTTCCCAATTGTCATTTTCAACGTGTGGGGATCCACTGAGGTAAAAAAAGCAACATTGAATTTCTATATTTTTCCTAATTTCTATATCTTCTATATTTTTCAGGTTCAATGGTGGGCCAAGAGCAAAGCATCAATGCAACAAGACCCAAATAACAAAAAGATGTCAAAATCATCGAAAGCGCCATCAACACCAAGCATTGATAGCATCGATATGGCCTAAGATATCACTAGTCCACTTATGTTTGTCATCTTGCCTTATCCATATTTTGTCCATTCATTCTCTCTCAACACGCGTTGCAGGTTTGTTAAACTTGTCTGATCTCAGCCGCTTCTATTTTCGTACTATTATCCCTTGTGTGTCTTTTTGCGGGTCAACCGGCTCAAAGTCCCTTTTCATGTGTTTATTTTAGTTTTTATTTTAAATTTAACAATAAATATTCTCATACAGTATTCAGATTTAGTATACGATCCATCGGCTGGTATTCGTCCAGAATAGGAGACTCCATGAGAGTCTCTGCCGATCGTTGGGTAGTCTCCGCATTGAGATTTTGTGTAATCACAGATAGCGAGCTTGGGGCTCTCTCAGAAGAATTACAGGTCCTGGGGTCCAGATGGAAGTACATTTTCCATATCTCGGCAAAACAGACCGACGCATGGAAGCGGAAGAACACCACGAGTGGAAGACTGATCTTGAAAAATAATTTGCTGGTGCTATCGAGTTTGTCCGGAAACCCGAATGAACGGATTGAGCCTGGAATTGGAAAATGAGCAACCAGCAATTTACTGTAGCCGCGGTAGTCAAAAATACTAAAGTTTCTTAGACCATTTGCATGTCCATGTGATCTCCATGGCCAGCCAAGCGGAATCCGTGCAGGAAATTCCATGCGCCTTTAAATTTGGCTCGTAAATCACTACAATGACTCAAGGAATTTCTAACTAGCCGCGGAGTCCAAGTGGACAACAAAATGGCATAGAAAACTCCAGCACTTTGGCTGCCGCGGCCGCGAACTGGTGAACTTTGAGCTCCCCCCCCCCTCCCAAAAGAATTTGTTAGTTGTCAGATTTTTGATACCTCTCATAGGAACCGAGATAATTGAGCTCGAAATGTACGTATGAACCCAAAATGTGTTCACGGTGCACTTACTTTGAGCTCATTTATTTCGGTTCCTATAAGAGATATTTTAAAAAACTGTCAACTGATAAAATATTGGTTATATTATGATAAACAATTGATCAGTTGACACATTTTTGAAATTTTGCAGAGGAGCCAAAAAAAGACTCAAGCTTGAGTGGTCCTTCTATTAGAGGTTTTACCGTACCTTCCATGGTGTGGAACCCAAACAAAATGAGATTCAAAACAATCAAAAATGTAATCGACTGCTTTCCAATTGTTCCGCATGGCTCTATCCGACTTCCTCTTTTCAAAAGATAGAATAGAAGAAGGGATTGAACTAGGACTTCGAACGCCCGAATGACAAAAGTAGCGAGGGCAAGTCCTTTGTCATCTGACAAATCATCTCCACGAATCACACCAAGCAATCCCATGTAGCAATACAATACTTCTCCACTGGCTCCGACTAGAAGAAAAATGACATTGATGGTTTTCTCGTGAGGCATTGCATCCCGACTCTCGGATAGCATGAACTCTTGATTTCGAATAATGTGGGCGAACAGACAATGGAAGACAACGAGACAGACAATGATGGAAATCGAATAATATGACAAGCCGAAGATCCCCATTATCATTCCAGCTGCCTTCAAGTAGTGACTTTCGCGAAGAATGTTTCCAAGAATATTGCAAAGCGCAAGAATGACCACCAAAATGTATCCAGCAGCCAAGCTGATTTCCGTGTTTTTGTAATTGAATCCAATGTAATTTGCCTTCCTATGATGATTGTTGTTTTCGCTGAAGGCTACGGTATAGAGAAGACTGAGGCAGACTCCGACAGCAATCAGACAGAATTCCACGTTTCCAGTGAGCAGGGTGATCGCAGAACTGCCCAAAAGCTTGACAACTCGCAACGTGGACTCATCCTTCTGGAAAAATCTATTGTAAGATGGTTGTATGGTATTAGACTCACATCAAAAATAAGGTCCACCACTGTTGGTTTTTCTGTCGCATGTAACGCCCATGTAGATGCCCGGTCATAATCTATATGGTACGTCTCATTCGAATCCTTGCCTATCCCTGATTTTGCGATGCACAGCGACACCCACACCCATAGATTCACAGCGATGGTGTGCGCCAGACCAAAGTAGACAATGAGTCGGTCGCAATGGAAAACGATTTTCTGACTTTTCCAGATGAAAACCAGTTGAGCAGCGTGGAAAATGATGTAGAGGCAGGTCCGGAAGATGCATATCGTTGGGCGAACATCGTCAGCAAACGCCAAGAAGAATTCGACACCCCAGAGAACAATCGCCGCAAATGAGAATACTCAAAATGAATTTTTATTATGATTTTTGAAAAAGTAGGTAACTTACAGACGGCTCCTAGCCGAAGAAAAAAGACTGTAGCACCAATTCCAATTATTCTCGAATCCTTCACTCTTAGAAACTGAAATTTATATTAGTTTTAGAGATATGATCAAGTTTGAGCTCATTTTTCGCGGCTCTTATGGAAGATATCAAAAGGTTATCAACTGATAAAATATTTGTAATTTTATGATAAACAACTTATCAGTTGGCATGTTTTTTATATCTTTCACAGGAGCCGAGACAAATTGGCTCGAAGCTACGGTAACCTACCGTCCACTTTTCCCATGTTGTCAACCCAACTAGAGCAAAAAATAGAATTGAAATTGATAAATTATAGCATCCAAATATGCTATATGATAACCAGTAGGCACCAGATCGAAACGTTGGGCTGAATTCCACCAAAAAGCATACCAAAGTCCAGACCAGGGTGTAGATCACAAAGAGGTACGGGGATAAATGAAGCTTGAAACTGAAACAAATTTGATATTTTTTGAAGAAGAAAAAATTGAAAAACTAACTTTTCCCAAGCTATCGCAGACATTTTGAGATCATGAAACGACGAGGTTGGTCTAAAAAAAAAGATTTTATAATAAACGAATATCACAGAAGTTGTATATTTTCCCAATTTTAATGGCTGAAAAAAACTGATAAACGATACCGCCCTGAAAATGAGGAAACAAAATATACTGTTAAAGGAGGCGAGACAGCAAAAATTTCGGGGGACAGTTCGGGGGACGAAATCGCGCTGCGCTTATGTATCCCATCGGTCGTCAGGCGCCTTCGCGCCCCCGTAGCTCAGCCGGTAGCGGCGCTGTACCCTGAGCTGCCTGTCATGAGTTCAACCCCTCATGGGGGTTCTCTATGCAAAATATCAGGAAAACTTTTTTTTTGTGTCTGGCCTCCTTTAATACTGTTTTTAGACAAGTCCTGACAACAAGTTTTATTTTCACTTCCGTTCCCGTTATTTTTCCATACTATACAATTTGGGTTCTTATACAGTCTGGGTTCTTATCTATTCTCAAGAAAAAATAAAATAAATAAATACGCATTTCCGGTGAAAATAAACAAATTTGCAGGGAATAAAAAATTTTGAAACCAGCTGTTCCGTTTTTGTGGATTCTCAGAATTCTTATTTTCATCTAGTCCAGATCCATTGTCCCCAGACAACCATTTTTTTTCTAAAATTTCAAATTGGTTCCCCCACTGTTCTTTGAAACACATTCATCTTGTCATGGTCACATTTGTTGCCTCACACTTCGTAGACATATGTGTCATTCAAATGGGGGAAGGACACATTTCATTCGTTTTGGCGCGAAACTGTTTGAATTCAAAGAATCGTTCAGTTTTAATCATTGGAGTGAACATATTGGGGTCTCTGAAACGGAATTTTCAAATGAAGGCCCGTGATCTAGATAGACGTTTCATAATTTTACAACAGTTTATAAGTAATACATTTATTTGAAAATACATTCTGGATTTGTGTATATTTGTGGCCCTTAAGAGGGCCGTTGGGTTCGGTTGGGGATGGCTTTCAGCTGGATAGCTTACTTGCTGGAGGTGTACTTGGTAACAGCCTTGGTTCCCTCAGACACGGCGTGCTTGGCGAGCTCTCCTGGAAGGATCAAACGGACGGCCGTTTGAATTTCACGGGATGAAATGGTCGATCTCTTGTTGTAGTGAGCAAGACGAGATGCCTCGGCGGCGATGCGCTCGAAGACGTCGTTGACGAACGAGTTCATGATCGACATGGCCTTGGAAGAGACTCCGGTGTCTGGATGGACCTGCTTGAGCACACGGTAGATGTACACAGAGTAGGATTCCTTGCGGTGGGCTCTTCTCTTCTTTCCGTCCTTTGGCTTCGTGACGGTCTTGGCGGCCTTTTTGGCTCCCTTGGCGGATGGCTTTGGTGGCATGGTGAGAGATTGGGACTGGTCAGTTGACAAGTGTGAAGCTACGGGTTGTTCGCTTTTCTATTTGAGTGTTTCTGCGGTGGAGGGGCGGAGTATCTGCGGGGACACACCCTTGGTGTTGCCAGAAGAACCGAATAGACAGTCTTCCCTTCCTTCCCCCTCTCTCCGCCTCCCCACCATAGAATCATATAAAAGCAAATGTCCACCATGTCCTCCTCAGATCGTTTCTACATCTACCAACTCATCAACCATGTCTGGACGCGGAAAGGGAGGCAAAGCCAAGACCGGAGGAAAGGCCAAGTCCCGCTCATCGAGAGCCGGACTCCAATTCCCAGTCGGACGTCTTCATCGTATTCTCCGTAAAGGAAACTACGCTCAACGTGTTGGAGCCGGAGCCCCAGTTTACCTGGCCGCCGTTCTCGAATACCTCGCTGCTGAGGTTCTCGAGTTGGCTGGAAACGCTGCCCGTGACAACAAGAAGACCAGAATTGCCCCAAGACATCTTCAACTCGCCGTCCGTAATGACGAGGAATTGAACAAGCTGTTGGCTGGAGTCACCATCGCCCAAGGAGGAGTTCTTCCAAACATCCAAGCTGTTCTTCTCCCAAAGAAGACTGGAGGAGACAAGGACTAAGAACTCACTCTTTGATCCCCATCTACCGAACCCAACGGCCCTCTTTAGGGCCACAACTATTACAAAAATCCATCTGATTCACATTTTGATAAAGCTTAATTATATTTTCAATTTTTTGCTGTTTCGCAATTTTAAAGAAAAAATTTGATGATTTTTAAATTTACAAAGCTCTCCAACTCAACTTCCTTCTGTGTTTTTTGATTTCGAATATATGTACATTTTCAATCAGTTTTACCAAGAAATTTCCTTTCCGACACCTTTCAGAGTTTCGATTCGAATTTTCGTATTTGAATGTTGCCGCCAAAACTGATGTTGATTAGCAAACAAAACACATTGATAACACAAATTCTTGATAAGAACCTCCCATCTGTACAAACATGAAGAGCTGCATACGCTCTTTGTACAACGATTTGAATTTAAAATTGGCGCCCAACGAAATGTCCTAATTTCCATCGCACCATTAATCTAATCCTGCGAAGGTCATTTGGATTCAAAAGATCTTTCACAAGTTCGGAGAGGACATTGAACATTGTTAATATAAAATCAGAAATGTTCAACAAACAAAACACACTGCATGAGATTATCAAATAAATTGAATAAAATATTGCAATAGTTGCTAAATTGCTTCTAATCCTAACATCAAATCTGGTGAAACTGTGACCGATTTCAGGTTTTGATGATATACAGTAAAATGAAGGAACAGGGTGAAAACAGGAAAATTTATGTATTTATTTAAAACAACATGTTGAAAAGGATTCTGGATATTTGTGGCCCTAAAGAGGGCCGTTGGGTTCGGTTGAGTTGGTTCAGTGAATCGAAACGGTCTCAAAATCCAAAACTGGAAATTTAAGCACGCTCTCCTCGGATACGTCTGGCCAATTGGATGTCCTTTGGCATGATGGTGACTCGCTTGGCGTGGATGGCGCACAAGTTGGTGTCCTCGAAAAGTCCGACGAGGTAAGCCTCAGCGGACTCTTGAAGAGCCATGACAGCGGAAGATTGGAAGCGAAGGTCAGTCTTGAAATCTTGAGCGATCTCACGGACAAGTCGCTGGAATGGCAACTTGCGGATGAGGAGCTCAGTCGACTTCTGGTAACGTCTGATCTCACGAAGAGCGACGGTTCCTGGACGGTAACGATGTGGCTTCTTGACTCCTCCTTGAGCTGGAGCAGACTTGCGAGCAGCCTTGGTGGCCAACTGCTTTCTTGGAGCCTTTCCTCCGGTCGATTTGCGGGCGGTTTGCTTGGTACGAGCCATTTCAATTGGAATCCGATTGGGACTGTGAAGAAAACGGCGAAGGGAGGAGGGTTATAAGATAGGGTGCGGTGGAGGGGTGGAGACTCGGAATAGGAGAGGGATGGGGAGAATCAGACGGAATGAGTGTAATGTGTCCCCGCAAATGCGACTCCTCCTACTCACCGCAGACATTCACGATTCCGTATATAAGACGGTAGGAAACAGTCAGCAGCATCTCACTTGTGAGTCTTCATCAATCGCATTCAACATGTCCGGACGTGGAAAGGGAGGAAAAGGCCTCGGAAAGGGAGGAGCCAAGCGCCATCGCAAAGTTCTTCGTGACAACATCCAAGGAATCACGAAGCCAGCCATTCGCCGTCTCGCCAGAAGAGGAGGAGTCAAGCGTATCTCCGGACTCATCTACGAGGAGACTCGTGGAGTTCTCAAGGTGTTCCTCGAGAACGTCATCCGTGACGCCGTCACCTACTGCGAGCACGCCAAGAGAAAGACCGTCACTGCCATGGACGTCGTCTATGCTTTGAAGCGTCAAGGAAGAACCCTGTACGGATTCGGAGGATAATTTTATTATCTTTCTCTGATTCATACAATCAAACTTCACCGAACCCAACGGCCCTCTTTAGGGCCACAAATACCAAAAAATCCAATTGAATTTGATTAATAAATGAGTTTGTATTTTTTTTCTTGTATGAAGAGTCTGCATTCCATAAAAGGCGAAATATTTGAAAAACTGAATTATCAGGCGTTTGTATAATTTTTCGATCCCACAACTCACATATCATACTACTGACTTCCCAAAGGGGAACAAATAATGCAAGCGCCTGATAAGAAATACCATACCAAGTGCATTATAAAATTCAATTCATCAAAGTGGAATGACTGATGTCAAGATTGCTTTTCTCGGCTTCCTTGTTTTCAATTCTTTGATTTTTAATATTCTTGGCATATTCACACCAAATTGGACAAGTAACAGAACTTATCTTGAATTGGTAAAATTTTTCTTTTTCAAAAACTTTGTTGTACATTCTAAAAGCCAAAATTATTTTCAGGGTAGTGGACTTCGGTTAACTTTGGCTAGTTCATTTATGCTAGGGACGTTGGCTTTGTCTAGTATAACTGTTGTAATATTCTTCTACGTCTAGTATTTAATTATAATTCGTTTTTTAAATTAAACAAACAATTTCAGCTATCAAGTCAAGAACAACGATTATTCTTCAAATCTTCGAAAATGGTTCCGTATTATCGATTTGGCTTCTATACTCGCTATTATCTTAACTGTTGCCGCTATAATTATTATAGCTACATCGAATTCTGATAATCTAATTTCCACACCTCAAGGGGGTCCCGACCCTATCGCTGTGAGTAAATTTTTGTTCATTATTTTGTTTATTCCAGCCATTTTCAGCTCGGCTACTCAGCTTGGTTATGTTTTATCTCTGTCATTCTAACTGTTGCCATAGCCTCGATTTCGGAATACATTGCCAGTGAAGAATGCTGAAATTATAATTCTTCTCTGAAGCTCTTCAAAAAATAAATGCGTCATTCAAATTCTGTTGATATTTCCAAGCATATAATTTAAGAGTGTCCAACCACACCCCCAAATTTTCCTTCTAGATTTTTCTAGATTTTCTCCTAACCAAAAACAAGCCAAACATCTCATGTTCTCTTATTTATTGATTTTTGTTATTCTGGTTTCAACAACATTCTCGGATTTCGAGACTGACTTACAAAGAATAAAGGAAGAGTACACTTGCTGTGAGTTTTTTTGGACCCTCCTAACTTTTATCTGTGACCTTATTTATCTCGGTTCCTGCGAATGATATAAAAAAGTTTTCAACTGATAAATTGTTTATCATAATATCAGAAGTGTTTTGCCAGCGGACAAATTTTTGATATCTCTCATCGGAACCGAGATAATTGGGTTCACGCTAGGGGTCCCTAACACAGGTTTCCGGTTATGCCAACTGTTCCAGACCCAAATTGTACCTTTAACTATACTGAAATCAATTCTGAAACTGCAAAACTGTTCCCATCTTCTTGCTACTCGATTTGTGGTTTGATAACGATTAATGAGAATACTGATGTCTCGTTTGCAACACTGGAAAAGTTGTTCCATAGAATGTACACCCTAAAAGGGGGTTTAAGAATCGAGAATACGACACTTCGAAGTTTCTCATTTTTACAACTACATGGATTTCTCAGTTTCTTTTGTTTTCCATGTAAGTGCTGGTTTAATGTTTTTTTTCTGCACGTGTAGATTTCAGTCGGAACCAGAATAGTCAACAACACAGAGCTAGTAGACGCTGAAGCTCTAGAAAACATTGTCCACGTCTCCAATACCAGTCACGAGTGTAAAATGGAGATTTTGGATAATTCAAAACTGGACGCCTCCAGATTATGTGAATCACAGTTCCACAATAGTGTTCAGAATATTGAAGTGCTGGATAACGGAAAAGATTGTGGATGTTCATCGGGAAAAATCACTCCTAGAAATTTGCCTGACTTTAAAAACTGTATTGTGTTGTTTGATGGACTGGTATTAACCAATATGTCCTACAACTCGAATTTGAAATCTCTATCGAAAATTGCGAATATCAGAGGAAATGTTGAAATAGCTTATACCAATTTTAAGGATCTCTCATTCTTGAAATCACTTTCGAAAATCAGAGGAAACACTTTTGAGAACCTGGAAACAGTTATTCTGGATATCCATGATAACCCAAAAATGAAGCGATTGGGTCTGGATTCAGTATCGGTTAGTGAGCCAACCCAATACGTTACCTTTGAGTTCAATTATCTCGGTTCCCATCAAAGATATCAAAAAGCTGTGAACTGATAAAATGTTTTTCATAACATCACCAACATTTTATCAGTTAGCAGATTTTTGATATCTCTCATGGGAACCGAGAAAAGTTGCTTCAAAATGAACGGTTAGGGTACCGTAAATGGTCTGACAGAACCTTTACGTACACTTAGAGCTCAATTATCTCGGTTCTTTCAAAAACTGTCAAAAATTAATCAGCTGATAAATTATTCATCATACAAAAAGCAATATTTTTTTAGCTGACAAATTTTTGATATCTTTTGTAGTAACCGAGATAATTGAGCTCAAAGTAAGTGCACCTTAAGAGCATTTTATGCGCATACGTTCACTTTGAATTTAATTATCTCGGTTCTTTCAAAAGTTATCAAAAATTAGTCAACTGATAAAATATTGGTGATATTATGATGATTAATTTATTTGTTGACAGATTTTTTATATCTCTCAGGGGTGCCAAGATAATTGAGCTCAAAGTGCATGGGTGGGCTTCTATTACAGCAAATACTTTACAACTGTGTTTTAAAGGTTGATACACTAGAGCAAGATTGGGTTCCAACTATGAATTTGGAAAATCTACATCCAGATTTTTGTATAACTTATCAAGAAGCTGTGTCACTGTCCTATGTGAGATTTAAAAATCTTGAAGCTAAATTTTGTGAGACCGAATGGAAAACAGATATGAAATCTTGTAAATTCAAAAGTTTGCGGGAACTGGAATCGGATTGTATTATCATTTATGGCAACGTTTTGATATCTTCTGGAGACGAGGAATACGTGGAGAAGTTAGAAGATACTGTGTATATTTTTGGATCATTGACAATTCAGAATTCCGAATTGGAGAATATCAGATTTCTGAAGATGTTAGGATGGATTTATTTTCTCCACGGTAAGAATTATTGTTTTGACAAAAACACTTTTTTTGAATTTTCAGAAACACTTCCTGTTATTCATATCACAAATAATAAGGATCTCAAGAAAGTTTCACTTCCATCTATAGTATATTGAAAACTAGAGAATTTTTTGAAAGACTATAATTTTCAGAGGATTTTCGCTAGAGGAAAAAAGGATGTAGTAATTGAAGGGAATGCTCCAAGTTTGTTTAGAGCATCGATTTCTTGTCTAGCTTTTCAGTCAAAAATCGGTGCTAATGTAACCTACAACGGAAGTAATTGCAGTGAGTAACCTATTGTAGACGAGCACTTTGAGCTTAATTATCTCGGTTCCTGTAAGAGATATCAAAAAATTTACAACTGATAAAATGTAGCTGATATTATGATGAATAATTAATTAATTAAAATGTTTTTATATTGTTTAAAGAAACTGATATAATTAGGTTCAAAGTGCAGGTTCAGAGTAAGCGTCTTTTAAAGCATTTACGGCATTATAATTGTTTGAGCTCAATTATTTCGGTTTCTGTAAGAGATATCAAAAATTAGTCAACTAATAAAATATTGGTGATATTATGATAAATAATTTATTAGATGACCAAATTTTGATATCTTTCAAAGGAACTGAGATAATTAGGTTCAAAGTGCAGGTTCAGAATAGTCGCCTATTAGAGCTTTATAATTGTTTGAGCTCAATTATATCGATCCCTATAAAAGATATCAAAAATGTGTCAACTAATAAAATGTAGATCACTTTATGAAAAATATTTTATCAGTTGTCCACTTATTGATATCTCTCATAGAAACCGAGATAATTGAGCTCACAGTGCACGAATGCATTAGCGGTATAACTGGTCCTTTCTGGTTTCAATTTGAATCCATTTTTCAGAGTCGATTGATATCACAAATGGAGGATCGCAGAATTCTATCAAATCTGGAATACTGATAATGCTTGGATCTCGAATTTTGATCTGAAAATCAAATTTTCTTAAAAGTTATTGTAGGTAGAAACTCCGCGAGTTCAACCTTTGGCTTTTTCAGAGGAGTGGCTGACAAGCCAAATACTATCTAAAAATCTTTTTGATACAAGCCGAAATTTGACCAAAGACCTTATCATCCTAATACAAATTCCATATTTTTATGTATACAAATAAAATCAGAAAAACATAAAAATTCACTAACGCTAACGAAAATGATAATGTACAATACAATAGTATACACAAAAATTTTGAGAATGCCTAGTCGAACCTTTGCGACACTCGGATTTCTGATATTTGTTGTTTTTATTCTGCTCGTGGTGGGAATTTTCACCCCGAATTGGTTAATTTCCACAGATTTACGTAATGGTGTCAGTATTCCCATTGGAATGGTACCGTACCCATCTCAGGTAGTTTTTTCCCCAAGTAAAAAAAATAAGTGTGTTTTGGTTTTCAGCTTACCTCCATGTTTCCCACATTATGCATACTGATGTATATAGCACTTGGCCTTTCAATGGTGTCTTTACTTTGCTTCATGGTTGCTTTGTAAGTTGTGGATTCAATTTATGGTAGATTGAAAATGCTTTTGCAGCTTACTAGTACGAAAGGATGACTACTCCGGAAAAGTTAAATTCCTACTTCATCTCATTGCTGGTTCATCACTCCTAATTGTTCTTCTTGTTGTTGTTACAATTGCTCTTGCTGGATCTAACCTAGCCTTCAATGTGGCGGTAATATTCCATTGAACTAATTTAATGAAAATCTAAAATTTTGCAGCTCGGTTATTCGGTGTGGTTTTGTGTGGCATCCGCTATCATATCAGCTGCAAATGCATTGATATCTGAGTATATTGTGGGAAAGAAGTTCGATTGATATTGATAGTCTTGATCAGTTTTTCTAAGACGAATAAAGCTTGAATTGTTGAACATTTTCAACAAATTTAGTTCCAGAATATCGTATTTGTCCAAAAAATGAAAAAAAACACAAAACACTCTAATAGAACACCATCCGAATCGTAAAATTTGAGCCTATATATATCATTTTCTGTGAGAGATATCAAAAAGTAGATAACTAATAAAATATTGCTGATATCATGATAACATTTTATTAGTTGACAATTTTTTGATATCTTTCAAAAAAAGTGAGATAATTAAGCTTAAAGTGGACGGTCTGGGTGGCGTTCTATCAGAGCGTTTACAGTATTTTTGAAGGTACCACAACGACCCTGTTCTAACATAATCCAACATTTGGTCATCAATTGGATGAACAGAGAAAATGAGGTGACAGATGACGTAGTACAATAGGCAGATGGGATTGGATTGTGACGTTAATAAGTTAATGCCAGTACATGGCAACGTAACAAAATGATTACAGTACGCAGATCGGGACGGCAAAAGTGTTCAAGATTTGAAGTGGTTAAGTAGACAGTTTGCCGAGAAAAGCAATCTTGACAATCTTGACATCATCTCCACTTTAAGGAATTTAATTAATTAAACCTAGTTAGTACTATTTTGAAGTGTTCCTTATTTAAAGGAGGTAGACATCAAAAAATTTTCATTTTTACTCAAAAGATATAACTCTGAAGTATAAATATAGCTATGTACTTAAAAACCTGAAAAAAACACATCAAGGACGAAAAAATGCTCTTTTTTGTCACCCTAATTTCTTCACTAGCTTGCTGCTGCGGCGTCGCTTCATAATGTGAAAAACGCGATGGTCGCCTCTTACACGCGTAGTGTAGTGGGTACGCTCTAGGCTAGTATTCAGGAGGTCAGAGGTTCAATCCCTGCTGGTGTTTTTACTTTTTTCTTCCCTTGTTTCCTTCGGATTGAACTTTTTGAACTCGGAATTTCTGAAGGGCTACCAGCGTGCCGCCGAGGCCTCGCTCCGAGGTACCAAAATCAGTTGAAAATGAAGAACCTTGTTTTATTATGTTAACAAATAAATTATGAAAAAAACTACAATTAATTTTTAGAAAGAGACATAACAATTGAAAGAAAAACCACATAATTAAAACAATCCTCGTGCAGGGCTGGTCGTCGGAAGGTGAAGGAAGCAGTAAAAATGGAGACGTCTCTGAAAACCCTAGTCATAAAACAGTTTTTATTCCTAGAGTAATAACGAGAAGTAATGAGATAAATAGGAACAGTGAAGAAACGGTTATCGAAGAGAAAATAGTTTTTTTCGCATGCCTATAAAAAACACCGGCGACTGGAAAAATAATCGGTCGATAGAACTTTAAATTTACATAAAAAAATTCACTTTTATATGGGTTTTATAATAAATAAGAAAAAAGAGCTTTTTTAATGTTTGAAGTCGTTAAAAATTGAAAAAAATAAAGTCGGGAAATAAAAAAATAAAAATGTTTGCGCGTGGGATTGCGTGCTTTAGGTGCGAACACCGCGACGGCAAAATACACATTCCCTGAAATTTTCCCCGAAATTTTTTCTGTCTGCCCTCCTTTAAATAGCAAAATATATAGACAAAAAATACACATTCATTTATTATTAGAATTAAATTGGATTCCTGGATATTTGTGGCCCTAAAGAGGGCCGTTGGGTTCGGTTAGTTGTTGTTGTATGAATGAGAGTTAATAAATTATCCTCCGAATCCGTACAGGGTTCTTCCTTGACGCTTCAAAGCATAGACGACGTCCATGGCGGTGACGGTCTTTCTCTTGGCGTGCTCGCAGTAGGTGACGGCGTCACGGATGACGTTCTCGAGGAACACCTTGAGAACTCCACGAGTCTCCTCGTAGATGAGTCCGGAGATACGCTTGACTCCTCCTCTTCTGGCGAGACGGCGAATGGCTGGCTTCGTGATTCCTTGGATGTTGTCACGAAGAACTTTGCGATGGCGCTTGGCTCCTCCCTTTCCGAGGCCTTTTCCTCCCTTTCCACGTCCGGACATGTTGAATGCGATTGATGAAGACTCACAAGTGAGATGCTGCTGACTGTTTCCTACCGTCTTATATACGGAATCGTGAATGTCTGCGGTGAGTAGGAGGAGTCGCATCTGCGGGGACACATTACACTCATTCCGTCTGATTCTCCCCATCCCTCTCCTATTCCGAGTCTCCACCCCTCCACCGCACCCTATCTTATAACCCTCCTCCCTTCGTCCGTTTCCTTCACAGTCCCAATCGGATTCCAATTGAAATGGCTCGTACCAAGCAAACCGCCCGCAAATCGACCGGAGGAAAGGCTCCAAGAAAGCAGTTGGCCACCAAGGCTGCTCGCAAGTCTGCTCCAGCTCAAGGAGGAGTCAAGAAGCCACATCGTTACCGTCCAGGAACCGTCGCTCTTCGTGAGATCAGACGTTACCAGAAGTCGACTGAGCTCCTCATCCGCAAGTTGCCATTCCAGCGACTTGTCCGTGAAATCGCTCAAGATTTCAAGACTGACCTTCGCTTCCAATCATCCGCTGTCATGGCTCTTCAAGAGTCCGCTGAGGCTTACCTCGTCGGACTTTTCGAGGACACCAACTTGTGCGCCATCCACGCCAAGCGAGTCACCATCATGCCAAAGGACATCCAATTGGCCAGACGTATCCGAGGAGAGCGTGCTTAAATTTCCAGTTTTGGATTTTGAGACCGTTTCGATTCACTGAACCAACTCAACCGAACCAAACGGCCCTCTTTAGGGCCACAAATATCCAAAATCCCTTATTTGTTGTTTATCAAATAAATAATTGCTCTGTATTAACCCTATTTCATTTTTTACTATTCATCATCAAAATTCAAAGCCAATTTTAAATTCAAATCGTTGTACAAAGAGCGTATGCAGCTCTTCATGTTTGTACAGATGGGAGGTTCTTATCAAGAATTTGTGTTATCAATGTGTTTCGTTTGCTAATCAACATCAGTTTTGGCGGCAATATTCAAAATTGGGTTGAATCGAAATTTTAATATTTGATTTGAAATTCTACAGGGTGTCTGAAACGAAGTTCTTTGATTTAAACTGGAAAACGTCTATAATTTGCATGTGAATGTTCGGTTAATTTGCGAATCTTCATTTATTTGTAAATATAGTTTTCCTTTGAAATTTCAGATTTTATCTGAACAATGTTCAATGTCCTCTCAGAACATTTTGAAATTTGGATCGAATTGACCTTCGCCGCATTAGATTGATGGTGCGATGCAAATTAGGACATTTTGTTGGGCGCCAATTTTGAACTCAAATCGTTGTACAAAGGGAGTGGAACTTTTCTTGATTGTACAAATGGGAAGTCTCTCGTCTATCGTCATCAAGCAAATATTAACTTTGGCGGCAAAATTCAAAATTTGAAAATTATTTTGAGACTCTTGAAAGTGTCGAAAATGACATTTCTTCATTAGAACTGAACAACGTTGAAAACCTCTGAAAAACTGTACAAAGTTCCGTAAATCTCTTCATGTTCTTCAAAACTTGTAACAATGCAAAAAACTAAAAACACAGCTTTATTATCAAAACGTGAATCAGATGGATTTTTGTAATAGTTGTGGCCCTAAAGAGGGCCGTTGGGTTCGGTAGATGGGGATCAAAGAGTGAGTTCTTATTCCTTGTCTCCTCCAGTCTTCTTTGGGAGAAGAACAGCTTGGATGTTTGGAAGAACTCCTCCTTGGGCGATGGTGACTCCAGCCAACAGCTTGTTCAATTCCTCGTCATTACGGACGGCGAGTTGAAGATGTCTTGGGGCAATTCTGGTCTTCTTGTTGTCACGGGCAGCGTTTCCAGCCAACTCGAGAACCTCAGCAGCGAGGTATTCGAGAACGGCGGCCAGGTAAACTGGGGCTCCGGCTCCAACACGTTGAGCGTAGTTTCCTTTACGGAGAATACGATGAAGACGTCCGACTGGGAATTGGAGTCCGGCTCTCGATGAGCGGGACTTGGCCTTTCCTCCGGTCTTGGCTTTGCCTCCCTTTCCGCGTCCAGACATGGTTGATGAGTTGGTAGATGTAGAAACGATCTGAGGAGGACAGGGTGGACATTCGCTTTTATATGATTCTATGGTGGGGAGGCGGAGAGAGGGGGAAGGAAAGGAAGACTGTCTATTCGGTTCTTCTGGCAACACCAAGGGTGTGTCCCCGCAGATACTCCGCCCCTCCACCGCAGAAACACTCAAATAGAAAAGCGAACAACCCGTAGCTTCACACTTGTCAACTGACCAGTCCCAATCTCTCAACATGCCACCAAAGCCATCCGCCAAGGGAGCCAAAAAGGCCGCCAAGACCGTCACGAAGCCAAAGGACGGAAAGAAGAGAAGAGCCCACCGCAAGGAGTCCTACTCTGTGTATATCTACCGTGTGCTCAAGCAGGTCCATCCAGACACTGGAGTCTCTTCCAAGGCCATGTCGATCATGAACTCGTTCGTCAACGACGTCTTCGAGCGCATCGCCGCCGAGGCATCTCGTCTTGCTCACTACAACAAGAGATCGACCATTTCATCCCGTGAAATTCAAACGGCCGTCCGTTTGATCCTTCCAGGAGAGCTCGCCAAGCACGCCGTGTCTGAGGGAACCAAGGCTGTTACCAAGTACACCTCCAGCAAGTAAGCTATCCAGCTGAAAGCCATCCCAACCGAACCCAACGGTCCTCTTAAGGGCCACAAATATACACAAATCCAGTATATATTTTTTTAATGAATCAATTGCTTTTGAATTATTTAAAATGTTTTAGTGTATACCTAGTTCATGGGCCTTCATGTGAACACACAGTTTCAGCAACCTCAAATCATTGATTCCTTTTATTCAACTAGAACAATTTTTCGAATTCAACCTGTTTCGCGCCAAAACAAATGAAATATGTCCTTCTCCCATTTGAATGGCACATATGTCTATGGAGTGTGCGACAACAAATGTGACCATGGCAAAATGAATGTGTTTCAAAGAAAAATGGAAAATCCTTATTCAGGGTATATAACTTTTTCACAACAACCATCTCTACCGTTGGCTCATGAATCAGCTGCTCATGGTGATGCTTTCGGGAGTACGTGTGCTACCAAATCTCTGCCAGACACGCGGAACTGTGGAATCTAAAGAAGACAACAATGGGGGAAGCAATACTGAGCATGACAGAGTAATTGTCGGGTAGTTTGAGGGGCAACCCAAAGTTTGATTACATAGCTGAATTATAAAATTATTTTCGGGGCTAAATTGCTAGGACTCACTTTCAAAGGTATCATCCTTATATATAAAACGCTACACGCGTCTGTCTGTCCTAATGTCAAGCTGTCCGCTTTCGAAAAATTTGAAAATTAAATATAGATTTACGTGACCTTTTAAGAAAAATTAGGAGCGGAACGATGAAACGGTATATCCTATGTTAAATCGCGCCGTAGGCGCACCAGCTTGCTGGTGGTAAATAAATAAGAAGGAACCACTCTTCTAGCTCCAGTATTCTCTCCTACTTCCACTGATAACCATTAGGGTTCGTTAAAATAAAGTTTGAATTGTTAGAATTGTATTATTGTTCTCTTGGGGGTTTGATTTTTGGTTTCCGAGACGGACACGGGCTCACTACCCAAATACCGCCTCGACAAGAGTGTCTAATTTAGGGTAGCTCATAATTACCCGCACAAATGAAAACGGGTATATCTTCAGACATAAGTACGATCTCATGTAAGAATTTCATTTTCAGAATGCCCATAAACCTTCAAAAAATTCAAGACTGTATATAAGCGTGAGAAATTGACGAAAACCAAAGAATACAAATGAAGACTGAACCATCCGACGCAGGAGAGATTCTATTGACTGTGGGATCTGTGCTCAAGATGTGTCCCCACAGATGCACCGCTCCGCCACCGCAGAAACACCCAATTAGAAAAGCGAACAACCCGTAGACCATTACCGCATTATGGTCCTGTCTTCTCAAAATTCTTCGTCCTCCTCACCATACGAATCGATATTTTTTCTTTCTTGTTTTAAAACCATATTTTTGATACAAAGTTACCAAGTCTGACTTCGGGAATTTGATAATCGACCTCCGGATAGAAAATTACTACTCAACCACTACGAATATTAGTAATACTATTTAGTTTTCGTTCCTCATCTTCTATTATTTCGTTTCTCATTTTCTAAAAAAATTCAATTGTCCATGACGAAACATGCGGTTGGGTTGCGTTAGATTAACAGACCAAGATCTCATAAAGTTTCTTCAAAAATGGATTTCAAACGAAGCCTATCATAATCTGGAGACTCTCTCCATGTTTATAATGAATGACATAAATGCTGTTCTGATACGTCAGTCAGTCGAATTTGAGGAATACGATCCGAATGAACCAGAGAAGAGACCAAGGGAGTACGTTCTTGATATACCGTAAGTTTTCTAATCATAAATTGTATTTTCCTATCATTTATTCAACATTCCAGGTATGATGGTTTGTTCTACGAGAAGTATCTTATCAGAGATCAAAAGTTTGTCGAAATAAAACGAATTACAGACGGAAAAAGAGCGTTTCTCGATGTCGGTGATAATCTTTTCAATTTTTTAGTTCTCAAAAACTGACTTGACGACTTTTTTCATTCTGTATTTTTCAAAGGCAATTTTCGAATTAATAAAAACCGCGACAAAACAATTTGAGCTCAATTGTCTCGGTTCTTATGAGAGATATCCAAATTGAGCCAACTGATCAAATATTCATCATATTAGCACCAATGTTTTACCAGTGGACAGATTTTTGATATCTTTTACAGTATCCGAGGTAATTGAGCTCAAAGTGCACGGGCTTCTATTGCAGCAAATACGGTAACACTTTTTGGTAATAGATGTTGTTCCAAATTTCTTCTTTTCCCGTTTAACGTTATTCGGATACCTATATACCGTAAAACTCTAA